TGGAGATAGATTTGAGTTTTGACCCGACCTGGGGTTGTCATTTTACTCAAAGATTTTCCAGCCGGCTGAACACAGAGCCAGTAACGTTGGGGGGTTCCAGTCGCAGCAGTGAGCAGACTGACTTCAATAAGACTCCGAAACAAAAGGATTTCACTTTCCTTTGCAGTTCTTTGTTGAAGGCTTCTCGGGTTGGAAAAGCCATCAAAGCCACAGAGCGATACAGATGCATTTCTTTGAGATATATGCTTGATATTCATCTATCTTTCTTCACTATGTGAAAGCGAGACATTCACTTTTTAGAGTGTACAATTTCCTGTGTTTTATTTGACACCAACAACTGTGATTCAAGAATTCAGAGCAGCTCACAGAACAGACAGATGTAATCTCTCCGTGTTCATGTGTTTCCAATACAAACCAAAAAACAGAGGGAAATGCTTTTGATGATTCCTGATATCAAACTCACTGCCTTCTCTAATATCCTGGGTGTTGCAGGCATATAACATACTGTTTATGTAGCTATGTTGCCTGACCTGCGCCAAGGAATAACTTTATTACCATCTTTAAGTTGGTATACATTTATACATGTCTAATAGACATTGTATATTACATTTATTCACATTCTTGTACTGAGATGTAAAACTCAACATATATCAATGCTGTAAGAGTAAGTATTGTACAGTAGGAGAGGGTTCACACACTTTTTAAAGCGCTCACTCCATGTTGTTGTATAGATAGTATATTGATGTGACATGGGAGCCTCTCATTTTATCCCAAAATGTTTTTACTCAACATAGATCCTCTATCATTTTAGACTGTCTTAGATAATACATCAATGCAGTCATACTGACAGCTTTAAATGCGTATTCTAGAATGACCTGATTCATATCAGTTTGTAAGAGACAGAGTACCATATTCTCTTTACCCTGAAATAAGATTCCTGATGAATGCCACACTAAATGCAAGTCATCATGACTCGTATTGGGTAGCTAATTTCAGCAGGAATAATTTCAACACACGTTTATCCTGTCTGTATGAATCGGTGGGCTTTATGGTAACTGTTTGTCACCCTTGAATTATGATATTAACCATAAAGAAGGCAGATTTTTATTGTGGGCAAATATTTATGTCAAATTCTGACATTAAACAGCTCATCTAAACATGTCATAAAACATTATGCTTTCATAGTGATGAAAGAAAGCTCCCCTGTTTTTGAAGGTATTTTATTTAGGATTGTGGCTGGAGGCACAAGACCAGTTTTGAAGCTTTTGGACAGTTGGTAACAGACGTTTAGATTCATTTTAAACCTAATTAATTGCTTATTTAGGTCGCCTATGACATTTTGACATCTTGAAACAAATGTTGATTTGAGCAATTGGGGTAAAGGTATTTTATTATTTTCTCTTCCAAAAATGTATCAACAGTTTCATTGCATTCTTGTGTGAAAACAAAGTTTGAAGACTGAACTGCCAATATGTCCATCTTCTCAACGACTATGATATCTTGTGCCTTTTACTATGTTTAACACAAACAGAAGCATTCCTTATGTCATACTGTCTTCTAACCCTTCTCACACCTTAAATCAAAATGCACATAAGATAATTATTTGAATATTCAAAGAGGTGAATACAACACAATGCTTTGCTAGAGTCCATATTCATATCCAAATTGTGTATTGCAAACCAGGGCCAGTTATTGTGGTTGTTCTTTAGATTTGATAAAGGCCACATTGACCTAGGCAGGCAGTGAGGGGGAAAGATTGAGACCACTCTAGTATTACTGACACAAATTGGTAACAGAAATGTAGTTTAAAGGCAAAATGATCTAACCATTTTAGACTATAAAATTCAGATTTGAAAAAACAAACAATTAAATGTATCTGAATTGTTTCTCTTCACCCAATTGGTTGGAATGTTTGCCTGAGAACTAGGCTTACTCTGCACCTGTTGTTCACAACATGAAGTTGATTCTGAATTTGGATTAACAGCTCCTAAAACACAACCCTTAAATAAGAGTGGATCAAGTCAAGTGCTGTTACTGTATTAAAGTAATTACTGTAAATGCAAATAAATGTAAAGTGTTGCCTTATTGTATTGTTTAACAAAGGTTCTAAACAAGTGGCCTTCCTCCCAAGGATGTAAATCATTATGTATACATGTCTATTTAGTGGAGCACTTTCGTGCAATGACACATAATACATGTGTAATTAGGCCATTTGATGGTTTTCATTTGATTATAAGATTATTTGGTTCACCTCAAATCTTTCAAACAAGAGAGTCCATCATCCCCAGTAAATATGTCACATTATAGCCCACAGTCCTTTATTAAGCCTAATAATCCTATGAAGATAGTAGCTATATTCATATTCAAAGAATCATTCATTATTTTGTTACAATGTATTCAAAACACCATTCACCTTAGTGCATTTACTGTAGGGTCATCTTTGAAAGTTTGTGTGCATTTAATTTCTGCTTTTTCTCACTGATTTGCACAATGGCAGTACTCTTTAGTTTTACAATATCTTCTCTGGATATTATTATTACATGTTTGTATTATATTTCTTGGTATACATTTCCCAGTTGACTTAACTTTACTTTGTCTTCATCTTTTACTGTATTGATATATTAAGTGTACTCTTCATGTAATTATGCATACTTCAAATATAACTATTTAACACATAATATCTTAGAACATGTCATTCATGAAAAACACTTATTAACTGATGATAGGTCATGTGAAATTATTTCTGTACCTGAGCACAAAATGTGGTCCTTTGTAAATATTTGTGTTTCTACTGCAAAACACTTCACAAAAACCATTCAATTAAGTCTTCAATTCATTCTTAATATTAGTCAAAGCCAATTTACAGTTAATGCACTCTCACTTTTTATATGAAGAGTACACAGATTTGTTGAGGAATGGTGTTGTATCCACTGTAAAGTTATTTGATTCATCACTTTAGTCCACATTACAGATATGTTTATACCAGTCTGATCAATGCATTATTTTTTGTATTAAGTGGATGTGTCACTTCTTGATGTCATCACCATTCTGTGTATTTAAAGCAGTTTAGGAGAGGCAGGTCTAGAAACCATGTTAGAAGAGAGTTGTATAGTACTGTATAATAGTTAACCTGCTTTTGACATCCATTTTGTTTTCGCTCTATCTACTATGTAGTGTGCTAGGTAGAAATCAAGATGTATAATATTATAAAACCAGTTTGTGTGATAATCTATCAGTTTCAGTAGCTAACTGAGAATGGATATGAGGGCATTTATATCAATGCATTTGATGTAAAAACCATCTGCATGCTGATATTATTTATAAGCATTATTTACTACTTGACAGCAACAGTGACATTTTACAAACTTATGTTCTGTTTCAGCAAAATAACTGGGAATTTATTTGATATGCCATTTCTGCACAAAATGAGGAATTCTGTCAGTTAAGTGACCTTTTATAATTTCCTCTGCTGTTACAGACTCTTAAATTAATGAAATGTAAAATTTGAACATTGAATTGAGGTGTCAACATTTTGTTTCTTGAGATTCAATGTGAATCATCAGTAAAAAAATTAAATCAATTTAATCCAAAATTAAGTATGCTGTCAAAGGTGCTTTTTTTCTTCCAGAAAATGTTTTTACTTTTTATAAACCATAAATGGCAGCTTTAGTCACCAATTGCCAATCATTATTTCACTGTTCAATACATTTTGAGAACATTGCCAATAATACAAAAGTTAATTATTATCATTTTAACCCTTGTCTCTTGTTGCTAGAGGCATCTCTCAATTAAACCTTATGGAAATAATCTCCAGTAGCCAGACTTTATATGGTATAGAGCATCTATTCTGATCAACCTGAGTCAAAGGTATGCTAATCAACTGAGCTTTGAGAGAGGTAATCAAGACACGCCTATATTTAAACTTACAGTTTCAATGCAATGTGCGAATCTGGCCAGTATTTAATAGCTGTTTCTACATTGATAAACACCATGCGACCACCAGGGGTAGCCAAATGCAAAACAGATGTTTTATTCTTTTTTGCCGTTATTGGACTGAGTAGAAGTACCATTATTCCCACATCAGTACTCAACATAACGAGAACAAGCTTTTGAGGAGGATGTCACAGATCACAGTCCATTCAAAGGAGATGGCCTTATTTTCTGCAGGTGTTTGAACACCTGGAGTGGCTCGTTCATAGCTTTTATGAAATAGCCTACTGCATTACATTTCGAGGAATCGGGTACGTATTCCACGATATTGTGTGTAAAATAGCCGTTTGCTCGTTCAAATTCGATAGATATGGTATTGTTTTGGAATATTGTCGTGCAATTAAATTTAGGCTATGATAGGAAACAGGATGTGTGACTGTGTGAAGTGAACTTATCTAATGATTTACTTACATATATGACTGTGATGTGGTTGTCTCAGATAAATGCACTAACTGTAAATCGCTCTGGAGGATAAGAGCATTTGCTATTATTATTGTGGTGTTTCTGCAGCATATGCATGTCGGTGTTAAAATACCATAGAATGTGTAGCTAAGACATGATATCCATACAGGATCTAACTAGAGCTAAGAATTATGTGTATTTATTGCATTCTCTAGAATAACGTTCTCAAGATATATTGATACTTTGTATCTCAGTTATGGCAACATGTATGTTATAGGATAATGTATCAGTTCTGTGCAATGAATGCAGAAATCTAGTTTTCCTTATTTTCACAGTCATGTACACCATTTTTTCACAAGTTTCATTAATTGGAGGTTAAACCTAATCCCATTTATGCTGTTATCGTCTTTAGAGATAGTTAGTTGATGAAATAGGATCCTAGGCATGTGTCTCCTGTGGATTCAAGATTCTCTGTTGCTCATCACATCTATTTGTATTCCTAAAGGCGTTATAGCAAAAAGCATAACATAAATAAATTCCTATACGTTTTACCGGCCACCGGACGGAGACCTATCAGTGACTAGACAAGGGTGACCAAGAGCTTTCCTATGGTGGCCAGCCAACAGCTGGCCATGGGCAACGGTTCAATCAAAGCCCCACGGCCAGAAGACAGCTGCCTGGCCTCCAGCCTCAAGGTGTGTGACACGGAGCCCTTGAGGCTCAGGATAGCCCACCTGGAAGAAGAGCTGGCCCAGAGGGACCAGGAGTTCAACACCCAGGAGCTGCAGCTGCAGAGCCTGCAGAGAGAGCTGGAGGCTAAAGTCTCCCAGATAGAAAAGCTTCAGGATGCCATCGGCTACAACAGCCTAGGCCGCTCCCCTCCGGCTCCCAACTGCCACCGCATGCTCAGTGTCATCAACCAGGGTCCCACCCGCTTCCACAGGGTGGCTGTAGAGGTCCACCGCAGGCTCAAGGCCAAGGAGGGCGTGTCGGCCGAGCCCACCTCAGGGCACTTCTGTGGGGGTTTCAGAGCCCACCATGTGTCCATAGAGAGGGCTAGTGTTCGCAAGGCCTCCAGGTGGGTGTCAGAGATCGACAGAACCACACAATATTGTTGAGGTTATTGGAGGGTTAATAATTCCAGAAACACATATAAACCCAGTTGCATTGTACAGTATGTGATAATGGGCCACATGTCATGACATGCAAGCAGAAATGTTCCCCAAAGTTTAAAAGCAATCAGCTGGATCTGCGATAATAAAGCCTACCTTGAATCATTATTTGTACTCAGCGGGTCTGGTGTAGGCTACTGTGCATGCACATAAAAGAACCAAGGCCGGGATTCAATCCGATCACACTTTGTCCGCAATGCACATTTTAAAGGCAATGTCCCTGCGTTTGCGGATACCACATTCAGGGTAAACACTGCATATGTCGTCTTAATTGTAAATTACCTTTAAATGGCACATTGTCCAAATCGGATTGAATCGGATTGAATCCCGGCCCAATCCTCCTCTTGAAAGGATAAGACGGTATGGAGCTCTGTCCAAGCCTTTGTAGTGTCTGCCACTCCAAGGAGATTTGAAAGCCTGTATTAACATTGGGGATAATAGGAAGGCACACAGGGAAACAAAGCCATGAGCATCTATATGCAATATGCATGGACTGGATCATTATGGCTTTAATTAAGCAGACCTCGGTTGCCTGCCCCCTACTCTCCTGCTTTAGTCCATTCACCAGGTCCATTTTAGGTTAATGGACTGGCCCTCGGCTGTCTGATGTAATAATTAGAGGCCTTATAGTTAAGAGGGATGCAGGGGGAAACTGACACGCCTAATGGTACTACATTAACTGTTTGTCTCCTTCTACGTGACTGGTTTAGAGACGGGAAAATATAGCGCTTTGTCCATCTATGAAAATCTAACATGAATGCTGTAGTAGAAATACAGTAGTAATGGCCTGATTGAAAGTATCTTGTGATTAACTTAAGCATTTACTCATGGTCGTGTACACTCAACCACCAGTTAGCAGCCCTATTGTATGTTGGGTTTAGGGGGCTGTTTAAGGTGAAATAATGTGAAATCTGCTCATGAGGGTGCTATCCCAGTACCTCACTGCATGCATTTTTACTTGTACGTGTGTAATAAATGGAATCATTTAGTTCAGAAAAGTTAGCCAGAGGCAATAAAACTATATTATTCAAAATAAAATTATGATATTTGAATGTTGGATGAATATTGATTTGGAGGTGAAAAAAACCTTGACTTCTAAAAGTAGAGAGTGTCTACTTGGAGGTGTTTCTCTGTACCTCTTATCTGTGCTCCTCCTGCTCCCAGCACCAAGAAGCTGATCAATGATGCCATCATGAATAATGACTTCCTGAAGAAGCTGGATCCGCAGCACATGAGGGAGATGGTGGACTGCATGTATGAGAGGATCTACACTGAGGGCCAACTGGTCATCCAGGAGGGAGAACCAGGGAACTACCTCTATGTGCTGGCAGGTCATATCAACTTTATTAATCTCTGTTAACCCAGAAGTAAAATCTCGCGTAATTTGGTCTGCTGCATGATTGACTTATGTGTTCATATGTGTTAGAAATTGAGAGTTCCGGCAAAAAGTTCTCCACCCTCGCAAAAGGAAACTCTCAGCCAAAGAACCCCCCCCCCAACCCCCCACCCCCACCCCCCACCCCCACCCTCCGATCCATGCAATGTTCTCAAGGCGAAGCAGTTTAAGAACCACCTTCGCCCAATCCTGTCCAAATAATGTCCAAATAACGTGACGAAAACCCACAAATAATAATCCAAGTGCTACTCATTGTCTCATGCATCCCATTCAGTCCCGGCAGATTCTTCGGTCTACATACAGAATCTTCCCACAGGAGATTACAACTTTTGTAACTTCTTCACAAGGGGGGTTGCCTGTGGGTTATAGCACTTACACAGCATATATTTAGCTATTTGTCTATACTCATGCTAGGTTTTTTCTCTTCAGATGGCCTGCTAGAGGTCATGCAGAACGGCAAATTGCTCGGAGAGATGCGTCCCAGGACTGCCTTTGGAGAATTGGCTATATTGTACAACTGTAAGAGAACTGCTACAGTGAAAGGTGAGTTTAACTAGTAGAGTCTGTAGAATGAGAGGATTTGATTCCCCTTTAAGATACAGTACTTCCCCACACACATCATAAACAAAGTGTTCATAATCAAGTGCATATCATGCAACAAACGATCCATATGACATACAAAATTATCCATGTATGAGGCAAAGCAGCATGGCAGCACATGATTTTATGAGAAGTCACCAAGGGACTATTAAAACCTCAATATAAACTGGGTGGTTCGAGTCCTGAATGCTGATTTGGCTGACAGCTGTGGTATACCACAGGTATGACAAAACATTTATTTTTACTGCTCTAATTACGTTGGTAACTAGTTTATAATAGCAATAAGGCACCTCTGGGGTTTGTGGTATATTGGAAATATACCACGGCTAAGGGCTGTATCCAGGCACTTAGCGTTGCGTCGTGCATAAGAACAGCCCTTAGCCATGGTATATTGGCCATATACCACAACCTCTCGTGCCTTATTGCTTAATTAGAATATGCAAATCTCACACAGTCTCCTAGTCAACAGGTGCTTCCTCTAATCTTGCATAGAATAGTATTTGTATTTTTGTATTTATTAAGGATCCCCATTAGCTGCTGCCAAGACATTAAGGCAGTTATATACACAATTTAAAATATTACATGACATTACATATCATAGCACTTTACCCAATACATTTAGTGTGTACGTGTGTGTAGTGTGCGTGTCTTATCATGTGTATGTGTGTCTGTGCCCGTGTGTCTGTCTCTTCACAGTCCCCGCTGTTCCATAAGGTGTGTTTTTATCTGTTTTTAAAATCTGATTCTACTGCTTGCATCAGTTACCTAATGTGGAATAGAGTTCCATGTAGTCATGGCTCTATGTAGTACTGTGGGCCTCCCATAGTCTGTTCTGGACTTGGGGATTGTGAAGAGAACTTTGGTGGCATGTCTTGTGGGGTATGCATGGGTGTCTGAGCTGTGTGCTAGTAGTTTAAACAGACACCTCGGTGCATTCAGCATGTCAACACTTCTTAGAAAAACAAGACATGCCACCAAAGTTCTCTTCACAATCCCCAAGTCCAGAACAGACTATGGGAGGCCCACAGTACTACATAGAGCCATGACTACATGGAACTCTATTCCACATTAGGTAACTGATGCAAGCAGTTACCTAATGTTCTGAGCCAGTTGTAATTTTCCGCGGTCCCTCTTTGTGGCACCTGACCACACGACTGAACAGTAGTCCAGGTGCGACAGAACTAGAGCCTGTAGGACCTGCCTTGTTGATGGTGTTGTTAAAAAGGCAGAACAGAGCTTTATTATGGACAGACTTCTCCCCATCCTAGCTACTGTTGTATCAACATGTTTTGACCTTGACAGTTTACAATCCAGGGTTACTCCAAGCAGTTTAGTCACCATACCTTTTTCAGATATTAAAATGAGTAAATGTTCATGCAATGTTTGGCCAACTCATATAACATTATAAGAGTACCTGGCCCTGTGAATGTCTGATCTGATATGGTGTGTTGATTGGACTTGTGATTTCTAATACCCAGCTGTATCCCAGGCTCATATCTGGGCTCTGGACCGCCAGACCTTCCAGAGTATTATGATGAAGTCTACACAGGCCACGCAAGAAGAGTACTTCAGCTTCCTACGCAGGTACATGTAGGGGCTTGGTCCTCAAGCCTGAAACAGGCATTGATGTAAATGGGAGATTGCATGACAGTTTGAGTTGCGAACGCATATACAGTCAGGTCTGACATTTTTTGCACCCTTGATAAAGATGGGCAAAAAAGACTGTATAAAATAAATAATACAACTCCCGAGCTATATTGTATGCTCAAAGAAATTGGAGAATTCTATTTTATCCTAATACAATTGCTCAGAGAAAGAGATTTTGTTTAACAAGTTATTGCCCCCCCCTGTTTTCAATACCTTTCAATATCTCATCTTGTGAGGATATCGGCACTGAGACTTTTTCTAAAATGTTTTATGAGATTGGAGAACACATTGGTAGGGATCTTAGACTATTCCTCCATACAGAATATTTCCAGATCCTTGATATCCTTTGTCTGCGCTTATGGACTGCCCTCTTCAATTCAAACCACAGTCGGCCATTGATTTTGATGTGTGCTTGGGGTTATTGTCTTGCTGGAAGATCCACTTGCTGCAAAGTTTCAGCCTCCTGGCAGAGGCAACCAGGTTCTTGGCTAAAATGTCCTCGTACTGGGTAATGTTCATGATGCCGTTGACGTTAACAAGGGCCCCAGGACCAGTGGAAGCAAAATAGCCCCATAACATGGGGTTCTTTTCTCATATGCATCTTTCTTTCGAAGCAAAACCCATCACTGGTGTGCATGGCCAAAGAGCTCTATTTTCATATAATCTGACCATAGCACTGGTTCCAATCCAAGTCCCAGTGCTGTTTAGCAAACTCCAGGCGTTTATATTTGTTGGATAACATGAAAATAGAGCTATTTGGCCACACACACCAGTGGTGGGTTTTGTGTCGTAAGGTATTTAAAACAGGGGTGCCAATTATTTTGACCCCTATCTTTTTGAGAGAAAAAAATATGACTTGTTAAACAAAATCTCTTTCTCTAAGCAATTGTATTAGGATAAAATAATATAGTTTCCCAATTTTTAGGAGCATGCAATATATACAGTTGAAGTCGGAAGTTTACATACACCTTAGCCAAATACATTTAAACTCAGTTTTTCACAGTTCCTGACATTTAATCCTAGTAGAAATTCCCTCTCTTAGGTCAGTTAGGATCACCACTTTATTTTAAGAATGTGAAATGTCAGAATAATAGTAGAGAGCATGATTTATTTCAGCTTTTATTTATTTCATCACATTTCCAGTGGGTCAGAAGTTTACATACACTCAATTAGTATTTGTTAGCATTGCCTTTACATTGTTTAACTTGGATCAAACGTTTTGGGGAGCCTTCTTCAAGCTTCCCACAATAAGTTGGGTGAATTTTGGCCCATTCCTCCTGACAGAGCTGGTGTAACTGAGTCAGGTTTGTAGGCCTCCTTGCTCGCACACGCTTTTTCAGTTCTGCCCACAAATGTTCTATAGGATTCAGGTCAGGGCTTTGTGATGACCACTCCAATACCTTGACTTTGTTGTCCTTAAGCCATTTTGCCACAACTTTGGAAGTATGCTTGGGGTCATTGTCCATTTGGAAGACCCATTTGTGACCAAGCTTTAACTTCCTGTCTTGAGATGTTGCTTCAATATATCCACATAATTTTCCTTCCTCATGATGCCATCTATTTTGTGAAGTGCACCAGTCCCTCCTGCAGCAAAGCACCCCCACAGCATGATGCTGCCACCCCCATGATTCACGGTTGGGATGGTGTTCTTCGGCTTGCAAGCCACACCCTTTTTCCTCCAAACATAACGATGGTCATTATGGCCAAACAGTTCTATTTCTGTTTCATCAGACCAGAGGACATTTCTCCAAAAAGTACGATCTTTGTCCCCATGTGCAGTTGCAAACCGTAGTCTGGCTTTTTTATGGCGGTTTTGGAGCAGTGGCTTCTTCCTTGCTGAGAGGCCTTTCAGGTTATGTCGATATAGGACTCGTTTTACTGTGGATATAGATACTTTTGTACCTGTTTCCTCCAGTATCTTCACAAGGTCCTTTGCTGTTGTTCTGGGATTGATTTTGCACCAAAGTACGTTCATCTCTAGGAAACAGAACGCGTCTCCTTCCTGAGCGGTATGACGGCTGTGTGGTCCATGGTGCTTATACTTGCGTACTATTGTTTGTACAGATGAACGTGGTACCTACAGGCATTTGGAAATTGCTCCCAATGATGAACCAGACTTGTGGAGGTCTACAATTTATTTTCTGAGGTCTTGGCTGATTTCTTTTGATTTTCCCATGATGTCAAGCAAAGAGGCACTGAGTTTGAAGGTAGGCCTTGAAATACATCCACAGGTACACCTCCAATTGACTCAAATTATGTCAATTAGCCTATCAGAAGCTTCTAAAGCCATGACATCATTTTCTGGAATTTTCCAAGCTGTTTAAAGGCACAGTCAATTTAGTGTATGTTAAATTCTGACCCACTGGAATTGTGATACAGTGAATTATAAGTGAAATAATCTGTCTGTAAACAATTGTTGGAAAAATTACTTGTGTCATGCACAAAGTAGATGTCCTAACTGACTTGCCAAAACTATAGTTTGTTAACAAGACATTTGTGGAGTGGTTGAAAAACAAGTTTTAATGACTCCAACCTAAGTGTACAGTGGGGAAAAAAAGTATTTAGTCAGCCACCAATTGTGCAAATTCTCCCACTTAAAAAGATGAGAGAGGCCTGTAATTTTCATCATAGGTACACGTCAACTATGACAGACAAATTGAGAAAAAAATATCCAGAAAATCACATTGTACGATTTTTTATGAATTTATTTGCAAATTATGGTGGAAAAAAAATATTTGGTCACCTACAAACAAGCAAGATTTCTGGCTCTCACAGACCTGTAAATTCTTCTTTAAGAGGCTCCTCTGTCCTCCACTCGTTACCTGTATTAATGGCACCTGTTTGAACTTGTTATCAGTATAAAAGACACCTGTCCACAACCTCAAACAGTCACACTCCAAACTCCACTATGGCCAAGACCAAAGAGCTGTCAAAGGACACCAGAAACAAAATTGTAGACCTGCACCAGGCTGGGAAGACTGAATCTGCAATAGGTAAGCAGCTTGGTTTGAAGAAATCAACTGTGGGAGCAATTATTAGGAAATGGAAGACATACAAGACCACTGATAATCTCCCACGATCTGGGGCTCCACGCAAGATCTCACCCTGTGGGGTCAAAATGATCACAAGAACGGTGAGCAAAAATCCCAGAACCACACGGGGGGACCTAGTGAATGACCTGCAGAGAGCTGGGACCAAAGTAACAAAGCCTACCATCAGTAACACACTACGCCGCCAGGGACTCAAATCCTGCAGTGCCAGACATGTCCCCCTGCTTAAGCCAGTACATGTCCAGGCCCGTCTGAAGTTTGCTAGAGTGCATTTGGATGATCCAGAAGAGGATTGGGAGAATGTCATATGGTCAGATGAAACCAAAATATAACTTTTTGGTAAAAACTCAACTTGTCGTGTTTGGAGGACAAAGAATGCTGAGTTGCATCCAAAGAACACCATACCTACTGTGAAGCATGGGGGTGGAAACATCATGCTTTGGGGCTGTTTTTCTGCAAAGGGACCAGGACGACTGATCCGTGTAAAGGAAAGAATGAATGGGGCCATGTATCGTGAGATTTTGATTGAAAACCTCCTTCCATCAGCAAGGGCATTGAAGATGAAACGTGGCTGGGTCTTTCAGCATGACAATGATCCCAAACACACCGCCCGGGCAACGAAGGAGTGGCTTCGTAAGAAGCATTTCAAGGTCCTGGAGTGGCCTAGCCAGTCTCCAGATCTCAACCCCATAGAAAATCTTTGGAGGGAGTTGAAAGTCCGTGTTGCCCAGCGACAGACCCAAAACATCACTGCTCTAGAGGAGATATGCATGGAGGAATGGGCCAAAATACCAGCAACAGTGTGTGAAAACCTTGTGAAGACTTACAGAAAACGTTTGACCTGTGTCATTGCCAACAAAGGGTATATAACAAAGTATTGAGAAACTTTTGTTATTGACCAAATACTTATTTTCCACCATAATTTGCAAATAAATTCATTAAAATCCTACAATGTGATTTTCTGGATTTTTTTTTCTCATTTTGTCTGTCATAGTTGACGTGTACCTATGATGAAAATTACAGGCCTCTCTCATCTTTTTAAGTGGGAGAACTTGCACAATTGGTGGCTGACTAAATACTTTTTTTCCCCACTGTATGTAAACTTACGACTTCAACTGTAGCTCAGTATTTGTATTATTTATTTCATACAGTCTTTTTTGCTCATCTTTATAAAGGGTGCCAATAATTTTGGACCTGACTGTATACTATTAAGTTAGGATTTAGCTCAACAAGGTTATCTTTGAAGTTGTTGGCAATATGTCACATTGCTAAATCCACATTATTAGCCGCATGTTTTTCCCAATAACTATCTCTGTGTACTTACCTTGTACAGTGTATCTCTGCTGAGAGACCTGCCAGAAGAGAAGCTTGCCAAAATCGTTGACTGTCTAGAAATTGTGAGCCTTTACTGTTTTTCTAATCAGACTTTTTCATAACTGGTGATTTGGGAAGATTTGTTGATATAAAAAGTTAATATTTTGTCTCATTCCTAGGACTATTTTGATAAAGGAGAGTATATCATTCGGGAGGGTGAGGAAGGGAACACTTTCTTCATTATAGCTAAAGGAGAGGTAAGAGAAAGGACCCAAATGTCATTGTTCATCTTTGTTGCTGTAAAGAGTCACATTCCTATCTGGCATTACAGAGAAGTTAAATCTCTTATCAAACCATGATAGATCATGCAATCTTATTGCAGAAAACATGCAATCTTAGTGCAGACAAGTCAGCCATTTTGGATCACGGGAAAAAGAGATAGCACTTAACATGCTGTGTTTTCTGCCCAGGTGTGTGTCACTCAGACCACAGAGGGCTGTGCTGAGCCTCAGGAGATAAAGACTCTGGGTGTGGGTGACTACTTTGGAGAAAAAGCCCTCATAAGGTAAGAGCTGTTTACTGATCTCTTTGGCCGATTCAAAATGTTCAATGGGCAAAATCGCTCTGGCCTGGTTTGTCTTGAGCACCAAGTTCAAACACACTTGTAGCATAGTACTGTGGGTTCCCTCATTCTCCCATGTTAAAATGTATTTGTCCTGCAGTATATCAATCAATTCTTAAGGCTAGCCCCCTGACTGACAATCCAAACATTTTACCGCTTCAGTTTCAATCAAATCCTTTCACAATATTGTAGAGTAGTGGGTCGTGGAATGTTAGTCTGGTGACAAAGACATGCATTATCAAACAGCTATTGTATGATTCTGTGGTGAATTTCAATTGGTTTCAGTTCTGTGTAGTTCTGCTGATTTAAATGTGACTGTCTGTCTCTTTCCAGTGAGGATGTGCGTTCAGCAAACATCATTTCCACTGAGAATGACACACAGTGCTTGGTGGTGGACAGAGAGTGAGTAGCTTCATTGCACACACACAGACGCATGCGCACACACACACACACAAACACTCATACACGCATACACACATACTGAAATTAAACAACAGTCGTGTGTTGACATTTTCCATTTATCGCTTTGGTACTATTTTCACAACTATGTGGTGAATTTTCAAACCTCTTAGTACAACACTCCAAACTGGTCATACTTGTAATGCAGACAGTCTTACATTCTAAATCTTTCATTGTGCATTCATTTTGTTTGGAGACATCTTTCACCACACAACCATTGGTCCAAAATATATGTTTACTGTGAAATATAATGAGTACATTGGTTTAATCACCAAAACAACATAATGATATCTTCTCAATTTAGCTGTTTTAACAACCAGTAAATCCAATAGGAAAAAAATACAAGATACATGTTTCAAAATTGCCCTTTGAAGTCCTGAAAGTAATATGCTATAGTACTGTAAATTACAGTACATTACATTGTTTTCACATTAGGCAATATACTTGCACTACCCATTAAAATTGACTGAACATCAAATTGTGATCAAAGGTGTGATCATTGAAGACATCTTTCACAATGTAATCAAATGAAAGAAATGAAAGAAACATCATGTTTAAGCAGCACTAGTTTGCATCAAGCCTGTCTTGAGCGTTTGACCAAAGGTTCTCATCCACATTGCAGTGTATGTCCTCATTGTTCATGCACCTGGGGAAAAACCTTTTGGCATGGCGAATCCAAGTCTGACATTGGTCATGGTTGGTGTCATCGCATGCCTCATCCATGGCCTGAAGGAGGGTGGCACGCTCATGTGGATGACGATCATACACCTTCCACCTCCATGTTGAAAATAATTCCTCAATAGGGTTGAGGAAAGGAGAATATGAGGGCAGGTATTGGTTCAGGAATCGGGGATGGGCACAAAACCATGCCTGAACCACCTCTGCATGGTGGAACCTGACATTGTCCCACAAAATGACATACATGAACCCTTCACCTTGACAGGCCTGCTCAATCTCATTGAGGAACTCAATGAGGTGTGCAGCATTGTAGGACCCAAGTAGAGGCCTAAGCCCTACCACACCATCTTCAGATATGGCTGCACAAATGGAGATGTTTCCCCCACGTTATCCAGGCATTTGAACGGTACGAGTAGTCAATATGTATGGTAATCATGTATTGCATTTTACAGTATTGTATTGTACTTATGTATTGTAGGGGTCCTGTGTGGCTCAGTTGGTTAGAGAATGGCACTAGCAACACCAGGGTTGTGGGTTAAATTCTTACTGGGGTCAAATACAAAAATGTATGGACTTACTGCTGTTACTTTGGATAAAAGCGTCTGCTACGTAAATGGCATGTATTACAGTACTCTGTTGGCCAATGCAATTTTAGGAAAGCAGTGTAAAAAAACCTCAGCAGAAGACCCCATTAACTTAATTTGTACTGTATAGGGGATGCATTTGTTACATACAGTACATCTCTGTTCTTGTCAATATCCAATTTTGTTTAAAATTACTGAGTCAAATCATAGTAGTCCTGATCATAATTGTACATTACAGTATATATCATAATTTATATGTTTATACTTTACAAACATACATTTTAATTATGTAATTCTCAAAATCTGTATATAGTAGACAAATCAGTTAAAAATCTATAGGTTTACAAAATGGTTAATTGATTATCAATTAAGAGCAGTTGGATTAAGTAATAGTAAAAGCTATTTTAACAAATGAGAAGACATGAAAAAAAAAATGTATGCACTCACTAACTGTAAGTCGCTCTGGATAAGAGCGTCTGCTAAAATGACTAAAATGTAAAATGTAAGACAATCATAACAAAAGTTATGTGAGCATTACATCGTGAAAGGCAAGTACTTTATATGAACATGCGTTGCAATGCGAAACATGTATTTCTAGATGAAACACTGATTAAGTTTGGTGAAAAAGTGACTGTATGATTTTGTGTGTTGTACTCAGCCAATTGATAATGTGTTTTGAGTTTTGAAAGAACTGCTTTTTTGATGATCTATTTTGAGTTTTGTACTAAGAGTTGTGAAAATGTACCACATTATTTGTGAAAATTGCACCAAAACGATTGGGAAAAAAACGGTATGCTACCTCTCTAGCAACTTCAACCAGATGGTGGGCACTTATGAGGAACTGCAGGCATACCTGAAGGAATACGTCGAAGAGCTCTCCCGACGCGACGAGAGGAGAAATGCACTGTGAGTAGTGGAGGCCACAAAATTACTGTTACCACACATAATTCAAATAACAAATGGCAGTTACATTTACAAATACCCACCCACCCCAGAAACGTTAGGGCCTCACTGTGTGCAGAAACAGATATTTAGGAGTGCACCATTAAACTCAAATGATTCCCCCTCCCCCCTCCTTCCACAGGCCCATCTCCCCCCTTATCGACTCGTCCCCAGAGGCCCAGGAGGTGTGTCGGCTCAGGGAGAGGATCGCCGTCATCCCTACCCATGACCCCTTCCAGGACTTGGAGGTCATAGCGACACTGGGCATGGGCGGCTTCGGCCGAGTAGAGCTGGTGAGTGGCCTGATGTTTGGGTCACACCACCCGGAGCAATGTCGAAAACAGCAGCATAGGGCATAGGCCTACAGTTGATATAAAAACAATTTAACATACACTGAGTATACAAAACATTAAGAACACCTGCTTTTTCCATGAAATCTATGATCCCTTATTGTTGTCACTTGTTAAATCCACTTCAGTCAGTGTAGATGAAGGGGAGGAGACAGGTTAAAGAAGGAATTTAAAGCCTTGAGACAGAGACATGGATTGTGTATGTGTGCCGTTCAGAGGGTGAATTGGCAAGACAAAATATTTAAGTGCCTTTGAACGGGGTATGGTAGTAGGTGCCAGGCTTACCGGTTTGTGTCAAGAACTGCAACGCTGCTGGGTTTTTCACACTTAACAGTTTCCCGTGTGTATAAAGAATGGTCCACCACCCAAAGGACATCCAGCCAACTTGACACAACTGTGGGAAGCATTGGAGTCAACATGGGCCAGCATCCCTGTGGAACGTTTCGACACCTTGTAGAGTCCATGCCCCGACGAATTGAGGCTGTTCTGAGGGCAAAAGGCGAGGGTGCAAATCAATATTAGGAAGGTGTTCTTAATGTTTTGTACACTCAGTGTAGTTTCCCCTTTGGTTGGACATTTTGGGGGTAGATGGTGGTGGTGAATGGTGGTGAATCTACACAGTTTTAAATTCTTTTATAAATTGAAAGGGGGGGCAACTCAATATTAGGAAGGTTTTCCTAATGTTTGGTATACTCAGTGTATATGTAAACAATATGAGTAATTGTTTTATTGCAGGTGAAACTGAGAGATGAAGACTCCACATTTGCTCTGAAGTGTATTAAAAAGAAGCACATTGTGGACACAAGACAACAGGAGCACATCTACTCTGAGAAGAACATCCTTCAGCAGACCAAATCACACTTCATAGTCAGGTCTGTGTCATGTGTTCATGCTGCTCTGGTCCTCAAGGTTTGTTTTCAGACAACACTGCCCATTGCAGAGTCCCCAAAGCATTGTAAACATTCAAAGCTTTTTATTCATGCTTTTGTTCAAGCTTTGACAACTGCATGGTTTTCCTAGAGTACTTTACATGATACATGTTTGTAGCGGTGTGAAGGAGTTCCAATATGAATAGAACACAAGTTACCCATTCATCCAGACTGCTGTCACCTGGAATGATACAGTGAAATGGACCTTATGACAATCAAGTTCACCCCAAGAGCAAGAGGGAGACAACACATATTGATGTTTGCAAGGCCTACCATGTAAAAAATCTTATAGGTTTTGTACTCTATTTCCCATCATCAATTGCTTTTTGAAAGATGCTCTTGTACTGTTTGAGGAAAACAACATTTGGTCATACAATATCATTTAGTCGCAATAGGTCGATTTATGCAAAGTAGGACCTCATGTGTATCCACTGAATGCATAAATGAACAGTTAAGTGAAGGACAAATTCATTGTTGTTCAGACCACACACAATGGAAATTAATAAAACATGTATTGTATTTATCTAGTCTATGAATAATGCATGTTTAGAGTGTGGTTTCAAACAGAAAGTCAAATATGTAATATAAATGAGGCAGTAGCTGCCTAAATCAGTCTTCCCTACATACTTTTATTTGATTTTTAAGATCATGAAACAAATATTATGCTCATGATTTTCTCTAGTTTTCGACAAAGGGATGTTTATTTTTTCCCAAGTGATATGGTTCCATTGCCATGACTCCCATGACTTGAAAGTGAAAGGTCTCATTTCACTGAATAGCCTATACAGACAAGACTTTGTATCTTAGGTCAGCTCTCAGATTGACAGGGGAAAAGGGACTGTGGAAGTGAATGGTGTTGACCTTGAAACAAGAAGTAGTTCTCTCTTACGAGAGAGAGGCCCCTCTCTATGGTCCGGAAGGAGTTGCTAAGGAGTCCCTTTAAAGAATGTCAGTTCAAGAGCAGTTGGATTAAGTAATAGTAAAAGCTATTTTAACAAATGAGAAGACATGAAAAAAAAATGTATGCACTCGCTCTGGATAAGAGCATCTGCTAAAATGACTAAAATGTAAGACAATCATAACAAAAGTGATATGAGCATTACATCGTGAAAGGCAAGTACTTTATATGAACATGGTAGGCCTTGCAAACACATATTGATGTTTGCAAGGCCTACCATGTAAAAAATCTTATAGGTTTTGTACTCATAGAGGCCCCTCTCTATGGTCCGGAAGGAGTTGCTAAGGAGTCCCTTTAAAGAATGTCAGTTTGTCCGGGGTCTCACCACTGAGTGTAGACTGAGGTTTGATTTATTTGCCCTGTGACATTCAAGGATAGAAGTCATGGGCAAACACTGCTTCCAACTGCCACCCAAAAAGGAACGTTCCGTTTGAGTGCAATATCCATCCTCACACATCTCTCTTTTCCCACTCTCAAAATGGTCCTTTCTCTCCATCTGCTTCAGCCTCAATTGACAAACAGATCCAAGGCAAACAAATGGCAGCTTAACTGCTTGAAAGTACTTCATCCAAAGAAATATACTACAAAGCAGAAGACCTCTCTCAAGCACTCATGTCTTTAAGAACCCCAGAACAGTAGTATTGTTCAGATGGTCCTCTAAATGTCACTGTGTTCCAGGTTGTTTCGGACATTCCGAGATGACAAGTATGTGTACATGCTACTGGAGGTCTGCCTGGGTGGGGAGCTGTGGAGTATACTACGGGACATGTGAGTGTAGGTTGTTTTACATCTGCTAAAACACCCAAAAGCCTGGAATCAATAATACCAATCAATCATCAGTATTAAGTCCTAGTATGTGTCTGAATGTTGGCCTTGGCTGTGATACAGGAGTTCCTTTGAGGAGCAGACAGCCCGCTTCTGCATTGCCTGTGTCCTGGAAGCCTTTGACTACCTCCACGCCAGAGGAATCATCTACAGAGACCTGAAACCTGAGAACCTACTACTGGATGCAGAAGGCTATGTCAAAATGGTAATAGACCTTCATTTGATCACTGCTCATTTTCAGTTGTTTGTACATAGTCATGTACAATATGTTCATGTTACAGTATCTGTCTGTTTCCTCAGGCTGACTTTGGTTTTGCTAAGAGGATAGGCCTGGGGAAGAAGACATGGACGTTCTGTGGGACCCCAGAGTATGTGGCCCCAGAGGTCATCATGAACAAGGGCCATGACTTTGGAGCTGACTGCTGGTCTCTGGGGATCCTCATCTTTGAGTTGCTGACAGGCAGGTGAGTCACTATGACAGTCTGGCATGTGGCTCACAGTAATAGTAAAAATGGTGCTGCTCTTGAATTTGTCTCTACGAACACTTAACTCTGAGAGGAACCATTAGGCATTAGGGCCCCATTTGGCAACCATGGTAACCAGCTTGACATGGAGAGGTTGAGTGTATGAGAGACTATTTGAGATAGCTTTTTGTGCTGCATTAGATATACAGTGTGTCTAAGTGTTTCCAGCATGTCCATAAAACCATTATTTTTTTGTTGCTATAGTCACCATTAACAGGAACCCTAAATTTCTGTTTTGTACCTATTTTAGTCCGCCCTTTTCCGGAACCGACCCCATTAAGATCTACACCATGGTCCTCCATGGGATTGAAAAGGTTGACTTCCCCAAGAGGATCAGCAAGCGCCCTGATGACCTTATCAGGAGACTCTGCAAGTATGTGGCTGTGGCATCACAAACTGCTGCCGTGCTTGCCAATAAAAATGTTGTCAGGGACAACTTACTATTAGTCATTTTTATTAATCACACACATACAAACACACACCTTTTGGGGAGATGGGAAATTGGAGACTATAGGCTATGCCTATTAACCCAGTAGGGGTTTGTGCCTCTGATGATTAGAGGCTGTAGTTGAATGAACTAAGCAGTGTGTCTGTCTGTCTACTTTGTTTGAGGTAAAGCCAACACAAAAAATAATACTCTGTAGTGCAACCCTTATTTGCATCACCATTTCAGCTGACAAAATAACATGTTTATATTCTACCGATACAGTGCCTTGCAAAAGTATTCATCCCTCTTGGCGTTTTTCCTATCTTGTTACATTACAGCTGTAATTTAAATGGATTTTTATTTGGATTTCATGTAATGGACATACACAAAATAGTCCAAATTGGTGAAGTAAAAAAAATAAAAAAAACTTGTTTCAAATAATTCTAAAAAATACATAATGTGGTGCGTGCATATCTATTCACCCCCTTTGCTATGAAGCTCCTAAATAAGATCTGGTGCAACCAATTACCTTCAGAAGTAACATAATTAGTTAAATAAAGTCCACCTGTGCGCAATCAAAGTGTCACATGATTTGTCACATGATCTCAGTATATATACACCTGTTCTGAAAGGCCCCAGAGTCTGCAACACCACTAAGCAAGGGGCACCACCAAGAAATCGGCACCATGAAGACCAAGGAGCTCTCCAAACAGGTCAGGGACAAAGTTGTGGAGAAGTACAGATCAGGGTTGGGTAAAAAAAAAATATCTGAAACTTTGAAGATCCCACGGAGCACCATTAAATCCATTATTAAAAAAATGGAAAGAATATGGCACCACAACAAACCTGCCAAGAGAGGGCCGCCCACCAAAACTCATGGACCAGGCAAGGAGGGCATTAATCAGAGAGGCAACAAAGAGACCAAAGATGACCCTGAAGGAGCTGCAAAGCTCCACAGCAGAGATTGGAGTATTTGTCCATAGGACCACTTTAAGCCGTACGCTCCACAGAGCTGGGCTTTGCGGAAGAGTGGCCAGAAAAAAGCCATTGCTTAAAGAAAAAAATAAGCAAACACGTTTGGTGTTCGTCAAAAGGCATGTGGGAGACTCCCCAAACATATGGAAGAAGGTACTCTGGTCAGATGAGATTAAAATTGAGCTTTTTGGCCATCAAGGAAAACGCTATGTCTGGCGCAAACCCAACATCTCTCATCACCCCGAGAACACCATCCCCACAGTGAAGCATGGTGGTGGCAGCATCATGCTGTGGGGTTGTTTTTCATCGGCAGGGACTGGGAAACTGGTCAGAATTGAAGGAATGATGGATGGCGCTTAATACAGGGAAACCTGTTTCAGTCTTCCAGAGATTTGAGACTGGGACGGAGGTTCACCTTCCAGCAGGACAATGACCCTAAGCATACTGCTAAAGCAACACTCAAGTGGTTTAAGGGGAAACATTTAAATGTCTTGGAATGGCCTAGTCAAAGCCCAGACCTCAATCCAATTGAGAATCTGTGGTATGACTTAAAAGATTGCTGTACACCAGCGGAACCCATCCAACTTGAAGGAGCTGGAGCAGTTTTGCCTTGAAGAATAGCCAAAAATCCCAGTGGCTAGATGTGCCAAGCTTATAGAGAAATACCCCAATAGACTTCCAGCTGTAATTGCTGCAAAAGGTGGCTATACAAAGTATTGACTTGGGGGGGGGGGTGAATAGTTATGCACGCTCAAGTTCTGTTTTTTTGTCATATTTCTTGTTTGTTTCACAATAAAAAATATTTTGCATCTTCAAAGTGGTAGGCATGTTGTGTAAATCAAATGATACAAACCCCCAAAAAATCATTTTTATTTCCAGGTTGTAAAATAAGAAAAATGCCAAGGGTGGTGAATACTTTCGCAAGCCACTGTATGCTACTGGATAATGCTAGTGAGCACCATGTTTCAAATCCTTTGGCCAGCTCAGTCACACAACAATTGGGCCTGTAGTAATTGACCAGACAAAAACCATTGACAGTTATTGGTCCATGAGTGGCCTGCATTGATGTCTTCAGGAAATCACATGTCAAACCAGACCAGCTCTGAATCAAACAGACTGCGTCATATCTACTGTATCAACCTGCTTTCATGTGTATAGGGTATTAGCTGCAATCATGTTATCGGCATTCAGTTTGTCCAGATGGTTGTCAACAATAACAGACCCATGCATAATTTCCTTCCCTTAGGCTCAACCCTGTGGACAGGCTTGGTAATAAGAAGAACGGCATCATCGACATTAAGAAACACAAGTTGGTCCACTTCTTATTAATGAAGCATCATCAACACCACTCCACACCTATCATCATCAATACCACTAAACACCTAGCCAGATCCTATATCCTAGACACTCATCAGCTACTGTGATACTAATGATGCACCATACAAGGATACAAGCACTATTGAAATATATTATTTGTAATTGCTGTTCTTTAACTGATTAATCCATTGATGGATTTCTGGTCCAATGCAATACGAATCCAGCTCAGGTTTAACAGCTTGCTCAGTGGTGCCTTCATAACCAGTAGGTTACCCATCTAGCACATTTGGTTCCTTGGAAGTTGTGGGAATGTACGTTTTTGGTTTCCCATTGGTTCTCGGAAACAAAGTCATACGTTTCCTGACCGGTAAAACAAATCAAAAATTAAACTTTCTGAGAACGGAAGAAAAAATGTATTGTCCTGGGAACATACGTTTTAGGTTGCAGGGAGGTTCTGAGAACATTTTACTATGGTTCCCTGAATGTTTTTCTGGGAGGTTTTATTAGTGATCTGAGAACAGAAATGGTAGGTTATTTGAAGGTAAGTAAATAACGTTTTAAGAACATTTTCTAAATTTTGTGAATGTTTTGAACGAAATGTTTAAATAACTTCCTTAAAACGTTCACTGAATATTTCAATAAGACTTTTAATAACACTGCTAGCCTAGTTTAACTGTTTTGAACTCCAAGCACAGATAGGACACATGGAAATAAATTTGTAATGCAAACACATTTATGTTTTATTGTGACATGGTGTCAGTGAGATTCAAACTTATGATCTTCTGTTCTCTATCCATGGAATTAGTCCACTGCGCCACCAGGATGGAGCTAACATACCATGTTTTTTTTATTCATACAAAGCTGTTCATTTTAGTCTATTCAAACAGACCCCATTTCAAAGGAAACAAGCACTCATTAAGATCAAGTGTGGCCAATTAGTGGATTAGCCAACACACCTGAACACCCTTAACAAGATAGAGGATAGCGAGAGTTTTGTTGACACTGAGAATGGAATGTATGTTTTTACATTCTTAGAACATTCTTTAGAACATTACTAATGTTTTCTTGTGTTTTTTATGGAAGGTTTTCTTAAACTTAGAACGTTCTCTGAACTAGGGATGTGCACGGTTATTCGAATAATCAAATACTTGTGTGAGTATTCATTTTTGGGCCCAAAAATGTATAGGCCTATTTTAACACTGAAAAGGCTTTTTCTAAATTAAATTAAAATATCCATGTGACATTGTTGCATACAAGGATATATCATGACATTTCAAATAATTAATTTAATAAAACACCAAACTTTTCAATGTAGTTTTTATGACATGCGTAGTGAGAGTTCACTAATGCAATGCAAGATGGAATAAAATTACGGAATTAAAAGTTAGCAAAATGAGAAGGAGTAGGCTACAAAGAGCAACCATCTGGTAGGCTGTTGTTTTATCTGAATGGGGTTGGGGAGAAAGTGCCAAATGTAGCATCAATCAGTCTAGCTAGGCTACTCCAGTCAATACAGGCACTGTTATATGGGATGATAAATAACATTGTGGCAGCTACAAGTTAGCTAGTCTTGGCTGTAGCCGAGTAGCGTCTCTCTCTCTGCCGCTGTCTGCTCGCTCCCGTCTCACCGGCACCTCCACAGCTGCAGCAATAGAGCACCAGCCTCTCCCTTGCGCAGCAGTGCTAAGGTTTAAAAAAAGGTTTTTAAAAAGTGTATTTCGAATATCCAGGTATCCAACAAAAATGTATGATGTACTGAAATTCCCACAAAAGAATGTTGTTTCTTAACGTTCTCTGAACAATTTGAGAACATTACTTTATATAGAAGCGTGAGGAAACCTGTAGGAAATGTTATGCTAAAGTACTGAAATTCCTACAGAAGAATGTTGTTTCTTAACATTCTCTGAACTATTTGAGAACATTCCCAATGTCAAACCAGTTGGAAAACGTTCCTAGAACATTACAAAAAATGTAATTAAATGTAACCATGTTTGAACTTTTAGAAACGTTCTGTTAAATTAATGATATTTTTTTGTCAAGTTCCTTAAATTTACTGAGAATGTTCCAAAGCCAAGCAACTATCCTGCACCATTCCCAGAACGTTGTGGGAAGGTTGAATGCAAAATAACCATAGGACAACCGCACTCTCTAAGAAACATATGGTTCTCAGAACGTTATGTGCTAGCTGGGAATGGATCATTCTCTCACCATTCATAATAATATCAGAACCGTATTAAAACTTCCATTGGTGTCAAATTCTTTCTGCACTGTGCAGACAATTGTGTGATGAGCACCTTCCCCTCCCTCCTCTTCAGTATCATGTCACAACAGGCAGTATTGCATAACAAACAGCACTTTCACCTGGGAGCAATTAGCCGTGAGAATGAGGAGTGCAGCTGTGCCCCTACTCAGCAGAGCAGAGCCTGAATAGACCATAAAACTGGCAGAGCTGGCTTCCTCTCAAGTCATCAGAGCACTAATGTTTGAAGCAGGAGGAATATGGTTTTGTTTTTAACTCACAGAGCAAATTATAAGGTTGAATGATGTTTGGTAGAAATGGTATAAAAACATTAGTGACCCTATTAGCAGACCTACGTCATTCTGTTTTTGGTGTTGCTATGATTGCATACTCCTGTGTGTGTGTGTGCGTGTGTGTGTGTGAGTGAGTGTGTGTGTGACTTCCTGTAGAAGAATTGTATTTTTTTTCCACTGCTTGAAATAGGGTCCTGTAGGCTGGGAGCTGTCTTTGTGGAGTAACTTGTGCATGTGTGCAATATCTACAGTATACAGACTGTGCTGTATTGTATTGGTTCTGGTGTAGCGTGTAGGCACTGGGGGATGATGGGATCTGTAGTTCTGACAGAAAATTAACAGCTGCCTCTTTGTGACGTCCTGCAGATGGTTCCAGGGCTTTAACTGGGAGGGGCTGAGACGCCAGAAGCTCATATCGCCACTGAAGAGAGAGGTGAAGTGCTACAATGCGTAATATTCCATTTACAAAATAAAAGAGCACATGACTGCTAAAGAAGTTATTGGATGTGACTGTATCTTACTGGTGTTCTTTGATGTTCCTCTTCCCAGCTGAAGGGGCCGATGGACCACAGCCACTTTGACATCTTCCCCCCAGAGCTGGAGGAGCCACCAGATGAGCTGTCAGGCTGGGACAAGGACTTCTGAGGTGCCCCTGGAGCCTCTACACCCTAAAGCCTTGTCTCCAAATAGGTGGTGTCACTCTACTACCTGACGCTCGTGTTCCGCTAGTGCAGTGAACTGTGCTATCTGCCTTAAAACAATAAACTCCACAGAAGCAGCCATGACTGAATACTGTAATCCCATCTCTTCCCTGCGGTTGCCATACTTACCATACATTTGACATCATGACTGCCTGCCTGTTGCTGCCTTTCTGGCCTGCAGACGGAGAAGATTGCCTCTTAAGGATTGCGTTTTAGGCTTTTGGCCGGAGGAACAGTGTGTCAAGTGCCACATGAAGCTCTCATGAGACAACAAGGACATTCATCAAGTGATTGAAAGACTTTGAGTGCCAAAAACCGTAATCTCAGTCCATTGGGTTCTTTCCTTCAGACAGCAACTCTTGGAGGACAATGGAAATAAATAGAAAATATTATTTATTGTTACAATTAAAACCAATGCTTCAGGGTTTTTACAGAAGTGAACAAAAATGTGGCTTTTATACATTTCAAAATGGCCTCCTATGGACGCGGGGACCAATCACAATGAGAAAAGCTAAACAAAATATGATGTGATTGGTTAAATAAGTAGCAGAAATCTGACCAATTGTCCTTGACATATTACACTCATTACTTTTCACACACAATACTTCTGTAAAAACCATGAAGAAGGCCAAAGGCAAAACATGTTGGTTTTACAATAAAAAAGCTTTTTTATTTACTTCCATTGTCCTCCAAGAGTTGCTGAATCTCCTTTCAACTTCAGTTTGCGCCTCAATTCATGCACCTTAGTTGGCGAGTGACAGTGCTCCCTTCCCTTCTTTCCCTCAGACAGACAGTGGTGTGCCTCATTTGTGTCCTTAACAACAACAAGCAACCTTCTAGGATGTTCTCAGCTTTCCAAAATGTAGATACACTGCATGGCCAAAAGTATGTGGACACCTGCTCGTCGAACATCTCATTCCAAAATCATAGGCATTAATATGGAGTTGGTCCCTCCTTTGCTGCTATAACAGCCTCCACTCTTCTTGGAAGGCTTTCCACTAGATGTTGGAACATTACTGCAGGGACTTGCTTCCATTCAGCCACAAGAGCATTAGTGAGGTCGGGCACTGATGTTGGGTGATTAGGCCTGGCTCGCAGTCGGCGTTCCAATTCATCCCAAAGGTGTTCGATGAGGTTGAGGTCAGGGCTCTGTGCAGGCCAGTCAAGTTCTTCCACACCAATCTCGACAAACCATTTCATTATGGACCTCACTTTGTGCACAGGGGCATTGTCATGCTGAAACATGAACGGGCCTTCCCCAAACTGTTCCCACAAAGTTGGAAGCACAGAATCGTCTAGAATGTCATTGTATGCTGTTGCGTTAAGATTTCCCTTCACTGGAACTAAGGGGCCTAGCCCGAACCATGAAAAGCAGCCCCAGACCATTATTCCTCTTCCACCAAACTTTACAGTTGGCACTATGCATTGGGGCAGGTAGTGTTCTCCTGGCATCCGCCAAACCCAGATTCATCCGTCGGACTGCCAGATGGTGAAGCGTGATTAATCACTCCAGAGAACGCGTTACCACTGCTCCAGAGGCCAATGGCGGTGAGCTTTACACCACTCCAGCCGACGCTTGGCATTGCGTATGGTGATCTTAGGCATGTGTGCGGCTGCTCGGCCATGGAAACCCATTTCATGAAGCTCCCAACGAACGGTTCTTCTGCTGACGTTGCTTCCAGAGGCAGTTTGGAACTCGGCAGTGAGTGTTGCAACCGAGGACAGACGATTTCTATGCGCTACGCACTTCAACAATCGGCAGTCCCGTTCTGTGAGCTTGTGTGGCCTACCACTTCACAGCTGAACCGTTGTTGCTCCTAGACGTTTCCACTTCACAATAACAGCACTTACAGTTGACCGGGGCAGCTCTAGCAGGGCCTTACTTTCCCAACTGACTTGTTGGGAAAGTGACGGTGCCACGTTAAAAGTCACTGAGCTCTTCAGTAAGGCCATTCTACTGCCGATGTTTGTCTATGGAGATTGCAAGGCTGTGTGCGCGATTTTATACACCTGTCAGCAACGTGTGTGGCTGAAATAGCCGAATCCACGAATTTGAAGGGGTGTCCACTTACTTTTGGCCATGTAGTGTATGTTTATATTTCCTTTTTGAAATTGTGCTTCAAATGTGCTCCAATTGTTGATCAAATGTATACTCAGCATTAAGGGACTATAAGCACGATGGTTAGTTATCAAATCTTCCACACATGCTTTGTCCTTCGATCATGCCTTATCTGCCTGGTGTGGTCCGATCAAAATACATTATTTTATTTTGATCCAGCTTGGTTGGGAAAACAGCGCATTAAATCATGAATCCACTTTATTCCTGAAGGGGCCAGTTTAGGGAATTAGTTGAGATACATTTCTCAAAATACAGTATGGCATTTGTACAATTGTATCACTAACTGATGGAAGTCATTGTGATTGTAAATAATCTGTAAATGAAAATGCATTGTAGATACAAAATAGAAAGATGGGCCTTATTGGTTGGGCCTCTATTTAACCTGGACAAATAATTTGGGGCACATTGCATTGAATGTACTGCAAATTTGTGAGGATGGATATATTGGATGGATATATTTCCCTTCCATTCATGCGAAACAATTGTTGGTACTGAGGTGCAAAGATATAGTAATACAGCCATTACTGTATTTTACATAACTCCTAAAATAAAGTGCACTCTTAACTTATTGAGCAAACCTCTATTGCAGTATATGGTTTTGTAGATGTTACCAAAATTAACACAATATTTCTTCTGTTTATAATAAAACATATTTTCGATACCTGATACCTCTTTACATTTTTCAATGTTGTTGTTGCTCTTGGAAGTAGTCACACAGCCATGGCGATGACGTCATAATAAATTGAAAAAACAATAAATATTTCAGATGCATGACCGACTGACAACCTTTTACAGCAATATCATTGCATGTCATTTTCTGGGGGGGATTACTTGTCATTTCATCATTGAATTGGCATTATTTGAAAATGTGGCTTTGTAGAAATGTGTGCTGTTTTTTAAACCACTCAAATTGTGCTTTACAAAGTCTTTAGGGAAGCAATGATGCCCTCATCTGACCAGCTTCATGAATCGCAGCCATCAGAGGCACAGAGCCAAGAGAACATTGCCTTGAAACAGGTAGTCAAAAATAAACATTTAAACCTTTCTTTAGGAGAAAAGATATCTGTGTCAAATTGTAATATCTAAAATATAAGAGAAATCAGGGATCCACAAATAGAAAACGGTGACCCGTGATTGAAGTTGTTCTGTATTGCTTTGGAGGTTCCCAGAGACAGGCCCGTGGTGCAGGCTCTATGGCACGTGGCCCTGAGGGGAGCTGAGGCTCTCTGCAAGGCTCTGATTGGCTCAGAAAGAGAAGGTACTGTATACAAGTCAAGTCCTAATACTTTTAGGATTGTAAGTAAGATATGAATGCTCAGGGAGTGTGTTCCTTCCCAATACATACAGGTTCAGATGAAGGGATGCTCCAGCAAGACTCAATCTCAGAGGAGATGTATTTCCCTTGCTATGAGGTAAGAAGAGTCAGAGTTGGTCCATAGACACTTGATACTGGATTTATTCAGGGTGGACTGTTGTGACCTTGTTAAATGACTGTACCTACAGAGCAGTGTGAGCTTGGAGAGAAGCATTTCTGTGGGCGACACAGATGTGAGAATGTACCCAAACTCCTGGAGGTGAGCGTTCTGCCAATAATTTAATAAATAGAGCTCAATATGTGCAAAGATGACATACTACCTTGTCTCTTTGACAACCAAGTTGACCAGCCAAGCATGACTCGGGAACATTTACACTTGATTAAACGTCCCGTTGTACTCTTATCACAGGCCCTACCTGCCAGAAAGTGAGGATGATGCCTTCATCAATATCAAGCTCAGTGCGATCCGTCAAGCATTTGAGGTAAGCAATCCCCTGACTGGTCATTTGTCAGCCAGAGACATATAGAGCTGAACAGAGCGCCGCTCATCCATGTCTGTTTCCTGTGTCACAGCTCATTCTCAGAGAACCAGAGGCCAAACACTTCCTGAAGGAGACAGGAAAGAGCCTGATTGGAGGGCTGCTATCTTTAGCAGGGAAGGTATGTAGCTAGTAGTATACCCACCACACCCTCTGGAAATATACTGAACAAAAATATAAACATAACATGCAACAATTTCAAGTTACAGTTCATATAAGGAAATCAGTCAATTGAAATAAATTCATTAGGCCCTAATCTATGGATTTCACATGACTGGGCAGGGGCGCAGCTATGGGTGGGCCTGGGAGGCCCACCCATAGGGAGCCAGGCCCACCCACTTGGGAGCCAGGCCCAGGCAATCAGAATAAGTTTTTCCCCACAAAAGGGCATTATTACAGACAGAAATACACCTCAGTTTCATCAGCTGTCTGGGTGGCTGGTCTCAGACGATCCCGCAGGTGAAGAAGCCATATGTAGGTCCTTGGCTGGTGTGATTACCCATGGTCTGCGGTTGTGAGGCCGGTTGGACGTACTGCCAAAATCTCTAAAACGACGTTTGAGGCGGCTTATGGTAGAAAAATTAACATTAAATTCTCTGGCAACAGCTCTGGTGGACAGTCCTGCAGTCAGCATGCCAATTGCACACTACCTCAAAACGTGAGACATCTGTGGCATTGTGTTGTGTGACAAAACTGCACATTTTAGAGTGGCTTTTTATTGTCCCCAGCACAAGGTGCACCTGTGTAATGATCATACTGTTTAATCAGCTTCTTGATATGCCACACCTGTCAGATGGATGGAGTATCTTGGCAAAGGATAAATGCTCACTAACAGGGATATAAACACATTTGTGCACCAATTTTTTAAGAAATAAGCTTTTTGTGCATATGGAACATTTCTGGGATCTTTTATTTCAGCTCATGAAACATGGGACCATCACTTGTTGCGTTTACATGTTGCGTTTATATTTTTGTTCAGTATAGATGTTCTTGGTTCTTGCTTCAGTAAGTATTCAATACTTGCCTCCATTATATTAGCTCCCATCTACTGTAAGAGCTTGGCATTTATCGAGACAAGCCCTGCAGTGTTTGAAGTTGTAACTATCCCTGCAATGTGACATTGTGGGTTTAATAGGTCTGTATGTCTCTCAGTGGGTTTGTACATAATTCTCTATGCATTGCACATTTGTTCCTGAATTCTTCTGGAGGTGGACATTGGAAAACAGCCTATTTTCCTCAGAAACCCAACACAGTGAATATCAGATCTGTCCCATGTTGGAAGTATGCCATTAGAGGCCTCTGAGTGTTTGTTTGTTTGGTTGTGTGTTGATCTCTGTAGAGCTCGGAGGGCTTTGGTCTGGTATGGGAAAAGCTCATGGCATTCACTGAAAATCCAACAAACTGGCCAGGCATCGTTGACGAGTGCCAAGAGGCAGGGGTGAGCTTCTGTCATAGAGACACATTATATCAGTTCCATCCAAGCTTTCACTTTTATAGGGCCATATGCTATTGTAATCATGTTATAACATGAATACTCACTTTATATTCTTATTTTTTCAATATTACTGTTAAGTTCTATTTTGTTGTTCATCCCCCACATAGCAATAAATCTGGCTGGATATGTCTGTAAAACATTGTTCATCACAGAACCATGTGAACCAGCGTAACACTAAAGCTACTAGAGATACCTGTATTGTTGAAAGAGTCTAGAGAACCTGATTTAGACGTAAAGGGAACGGTATGATTTTCCCTGCTGTAAATCATCCATACCAGAGAAAAGTTCCCTCCATATTTCACTGAACAATGGCTCTGCTCCCTGCCTGCTATTTCTAGATGCACACTTTTTTTTAGGCTTTTATGACATATTTTACGAGTCCATTGTGCTGAAGGTGCTGGAATACCAGGAGCACATTCCAGCCATCTTAAAGCCAACTCTACGCACGCCATGGATCTCAGAGGGCACTAAGAAAACTGTACGCTTTTTTGTTCTCATAATCAATAGCAAATAAATGTTGTAAATGATATGTGTACTCAGCATTGATTATAATAAGATTACTAAAGACGATTTAACATACTAACTATCGCAATGATAAAACCTTGTATCTTATGGTAAATATGTGAAGGTAAAACCTTTATGTTATGTTCACGTTCAGCAAGTGACAAGGCGAACCCACCCCTACAGTCACTGTCTGTTTTAAAATGCCTTCACAGACTGTGATGTTCTATGCCTGGTCACAAATTAAGAAGAAGAGGGAGTGTTTAATGGTAGGATGAAAAAAACGGTTGCCTGGATGTTGTCTGTATTTTTTATTATGGGCAAAATAAATTCAAGTAGTTTGAATATTTTTTATTTATCGTACATGCATTACCACATATTACCAGAAGATGTCAGCATAGTTCTGATGTAATGTATCCATGTGTCTCTGTAGAGGCCTGATGGACTGTACCACCACCTGTATGAGGTGTTTGACTACACAGACCCAGAGATCATGTGGGCAGCCTATGGATCACAGAGCAAGACCAAAGAATTCTGCATCCTTCTTAGGGTATGTGACTTGTCATTTGGTATTTTATTAGGATCCACATTAGCTGTTGTCCACACAGAACAAGACATAATACAGAACAATAACAAACAAGAACAGCTCAAGGACAGAACTACATACATTTAAAATAAGAATATAGAAATAAAAAAGGTCCTGTACTGACAAAATACTGAAAAGACAGAGAGACCCATACTATAGGCCTATTTGTTGTTGCCCTTCTCTCAACTGTGAGTGAGTTAGCTTGCTTTCTCCTCAGTTGCTCTGTATGTTGTAATAATTTAATATTGTATAGTATCCTTTCAATGCCCATAGATCCAGTTAGAGTATTTGTCTTTGATACAGACCTACTTTACCATGACGTGGCGATCAAAGAGTTTTCCTTAATCTTCATTATAGTGACAGATACACTTCTGTAATTCCAGGGTCGGATTCTGTCTTTTATCCAACAAATGTTCAGCCTGGACATAAAGAGGTATGAATCTCCCGAGTCACTGGCTGTGAAGGTCCTCTCTAATTGGAAAGGGCTGGTCCGCTTCCTGCAGTTCTACGTGGATGAGAATCAGTATTCATTACTTATTAGTATGAATCATAAAGAGAGAGGAATCTCTGTCTAAGGACACACAGTTGAGTGTATCTTTCCACTTATTTGCAAGATCAGCTAGTTTCTAGTGAGGTAGTGCTTTTTACCTCCCTCTTTCCATGAGAAACATGATTTGCTTCATATCCTGTGAGGGCACAGTGAGTGGTCTAAAATGAACTTAAAGCACAGAAGCACAGCATACATTTCATGTCTTAGGAAATGTCAACTTTATTTTGAAAAATAACTTTGAATAATGATGCAATATGCATATTGAGATATTTAATCCATTGCAGTAAATTGTACAATATACAATATACAGATATCACTATATTTTGTCTTTAGTTACCAGCCCGACAAAATGTATCATACATATTGACAGCATTTACTGCCTCTAAGTTGCAACACATTTATTTTCTACTTGATTCGAGTATTTAGAGGTACATGAATTCAGTATGATACAGTTAGAGAGTAAATTATTATTATTTTAATAGGACTACATGATGACATTATGTAGAACTCATTAGTATTGTACTACACTCTTGTTCACGTTGCTGAAGTACATACTGGATAACTAACTATTGTTTGCATTCTTTCTGTGGGATTAGTGTCTTGTAAAATTTGATTAACTCCATTCCTGTCATTAACACAATGGACAGTTTTGAGCAGTTGAAATTAGCTGCTGCTGTATTTCAGGTATATGTCAAGGCTTTGAAGCCAACTTTATAATCCTTTCCAAAGTTTCTGTGTGAAACTTTCCTTCTCTAGTTGACTAGTGAGATTTCCAAGGTACCATGGCACTTGTTTTGCCAGTCTGTTATTAAATAACCTCATAGTGATGTAACAGTGGTGTAGAAAAGATACATCACTGTTAGCTTGTCAAACCAGACTTGCATGTCCCGACCAAAACCAATATATATCTTGAAGATGAACAAGAGCAACAGCAGTCTCTAAACCACATCTTGTAGTGATATCAATTGATTAAAAACAATAGATTGACCGTTTTTTTAACATAAATGTTTGACAGGAACATTAAAATACCTTGGGGCAATGCATCACAAACGTTATCGTAACGTCTGACAGCAGTCCTCAAAGTTGCAGTGGTTTTTATCTTTAGGGATCTTGAACCTCTCTCTCCAAAAATGATAACTTTCCATCATATAGACATAGGAATTTACAGAGGCATAACTCCCCTCCTGTACATACATACTGACTGTCCACACATTACACAAACTTTTGCTATATACAGCACAATCACACAACATATACACCACAATCTGTCATCCCTGTACAGTACATACTGCAAACACCTAGTCTATATAGGCCTACACTCAAAACAAGAAGATAAATCACACTAAATATGTTGTATAGATTCTGAAAGTACAATTCTGAAATATGTACGATATGTGTATGTTTCACATTTGTTCAAGGGAGCCTGACTTGTCTTACTGTAGACTTCTCTCTCACATAATGGATCACCAGACATTTGTAAATAATAGTATTATGCAGCAGACTTTACCAGCCCTGATCAATTGGGGAGCAGACTTTACCATAGACGAAAGCAAGATACAACAAGCAACCTTTTCTAATGTACTGTATCTAATCACTGTCAATATGATTCTGATTAAATTGCTGATAATCCAAGTCTTTATTTCCACCCCAGAACATTGTCTATTTCTTAGTTGAAACTACCATATCAAATAGTTATTGTTTGCTCCATCAACACATAATACTGAAATGTCAGCCAGAATGAATAAAATATATTTAGAGAATGCATTAAGCTACCATATGAATTGTATAGAAAACGAGTGTAGTACGAGATTAAGTAACTTATATCGTTTTCATGTACATTGTGGAGTAAATGCATCTCTATTCTCAAATACATATCAATGTTCCCTTATTTGAAACAATAAAATCCCTTATTATAGAATTGTATCTCAAGAGAGATAGATGTCTATGACCATCCATCCTTTTGTTTTCTTTTCACTCCTCACTCAAATGTTGTCATCCATCCAAGTGTTCTTTCTCTCACCCCTCCACACTCCTCCTCTCCCAGTCCAGTCAAGAATCTGTGCAACTTCACTTTGTCCTCCTCTTCAGGGCTGTCTCTTCCCACTCTGGGCCATCTGTTTCGTATCTAGGTAGAAAACAAAGACGTTCAGTGCGGGCAGTGTTTAAAAAGTGTTGCCTCTTCACCTCTATGGATATCTTTATGATACGCTGACCATTAATCATATGATAGCTGCTAAATTAGTTGTGCTTGTATGTTCACAGCATGCTTCCACTATGTTTCACTACACGTTAGCATTATTTGGATTGTCAGATCTTTGTGTACCTTATTTGTTACTGGGGCCACTGGAAGTCCAGTTTGTTCTGATGGCCCAAGGCGACCATGGAGTTCCTGTTTCTTCCTGGTGGTTCCACTGGTCCCAGGTCAGGGCTGGAGGGAAATAGGGCATTGTTATTGGTGTGCTCCAATGCTATTACAATAAGCAATGCATTAGCCATGCACAATGCTTGAGACCAGGATGTTTTTTCCACATGCATTTATTTCCAAGAGAGGGTCTCCCTTTAGATAAATTATGCATATAATCTCTATATCTCATTGGACCACTGTGAAATACATTGGGAATTCTCCAACTCCTCCCAGCATACCTCAAACCTGACACGGCAACCCCTCCGCTAATCGTCTGGGTCCGTGCCAAGCTCTCTCCCTCTGTCTGAGGAGTGCCCCATCCAGCATGTGGAGTAGGTTGAAGGGCCAAAGAAATAGCTGTTCTTGCCTCAAGCCCTACAACTCCCACTAGATTCCTGTGTTCTACAACCTTCAAACAAAAGAATACCACAATTCTTCCACTGACTCGCATATTTTTATAATCTGAAATGATTTGCCAAGAACCTGTCATATAGTTTTGGTGCTCATCTGAAGTTATTGAGGCTTTCAACACTTTCTAACCCAAAATATCCACACATATTTTGACATAGATTCCTGTGTGTAAAAAAGCTGACACTGTTAGAGGAGGCCCATTGTGTTTTGTTCAACAAATGAGGGAGGTTGGAGCCACATTGGTATTTATCTGATTTAAATAGAAATATTAGAGTAGAGATTTAAAGATGCACTATGCTGAAATCGCTCCGCCATTTCCCAACCTGGTCTCAGATAATTTCGCATTATTCTGTACGTAAATCCGTGACACTTCATTTAGTATGATATGTTACATTTCGATTGGTGTGTATTAATTTGTGGATGTCCATCACCCATTTCGTATGAAATGTTACGAATTACAATTCATATTATATGTTACAAATTTGCAAAGCATTCAATATGTTACGAATTTGCAAAACGTATGATATATTACGAATTCTAGCTAGGTGGCTAGGTGGCTAACATTAGCTAGCTCGCTAACATTAGCTAGGCTAGGGTTAAGTTTAGGAGTTATTTTAAACGGTTAAGGTTAGGGGAAGATGTAGTTGCAAAGTAGCTAAAAAGTAGTAAGTAGTTGAAAAGTTTCTAATTAGCTATGCAAAAGTTGTCCGAGATGAAATTTGAACTCGCAACTTTTGAGTTGCTAGACATTCAAATTATATGCCAACCTATCCACCCCGACCAACCACCCTCCTTTCGTTCTTGGCTTAAGTAACCATCTGTCTTATGTAACCATACCAAACATAACATATCATACTAAATGGAGTGTTTGTCAGGTTGCCCAAAAAGTTACATATTGCAGCTTTAAGTAAGTATCTCTAAATGGTAAGATGATATTGGTCGGTCGGGCATTTTCAGTATTTTCAGTGTGTTTCTTTCTAAGAAGCAGGAGTTGAGTCATTCAACAAACACAACCCATGACCTACTGCCAATGACAGTCTGAACTCATTTTTCTATGAAGACTAAAGGATTTAGAAGTTAATAGGTACACACACCCACAAAAGATGATGAAACTAAAGAGAGCTGTGATTAATTACAACTTGACCTCTCCTTTCTTGTATCATGATCAGCTCAAGATGTTCACACAACTTGGAAGGAACAACAAGCTCCAACTGTTATCTTTAGTGATCTTTTTTTTAGTGTCTTCAGCTAGAACAGACAATCTCAAATGGTTGAGACAATAGCCAAGTCCTGATTGTTATGTTTTGTGGACATTTCCAACGTGCTAATCCTAATGTTTCTTTGTGTGTTTAGGAAATACTGTACTGTAAATACTGTAGTAAGAAATACAGTATTTTTAGAATAGACTTTAGAGTATAGAGTTTCTTGAGAGGTCTTCACCGGTAGAGCTGTGGACAGGATCTCTTCAGGGAGGTGGATGTCTGTCCCAGTCTGCTCTGGTTCCTCAGCTTGGTCTGCTTCACCAGATCCTTCACTCTGCCCCACGTGTAGTTCTCACTCAGCTACACAACCAAACACACATATCTCAGCATTAACAAATAGGTTATTTCCCCACTGTCTGGTCAGGATAGCGTGTTTTTAAATCTACTGTAACATCGTGTTGTGCAGATGTACATATTTGAACCGTAAACAGGGCTTGAGGCTGTTGTGCACAGCCCAGTGAGTCAGAGCAGGGATGTTTGTGACTCACCCGTTTGTGTGGGGCAGAGAGACCCTCTGTACTGTCACAGAGATAAAAGCATGCCTCTCCCTCTGTGTAGTTCTTCCGATTCAGGCCCCTCCTACAAAGGGGCACCAGGGGCTGGCATCCATCCTGGTCACTCTCTATAGAGAGGAGAGCGAGAGATGATATGAATTTGAGTCATGAGGGCTGGAACCACTCACTACTCATAGTGGGGGGAAACTGTTATGACACATGGTGATGTGAATCAGCTGTCCCAGAGGACCCCCTGTTTTCGCCCTGCTGCCGCTTCCCACTCAACCGCCCCACCCCCTCAATCTGTTATCGCAGTACAGGGAGGACCATTCGCCATCCTCTCTACTCCCCAGCTCCAGTTTCCAGAATCCTGCCTATCGGAGGAGCAAGTAATTCCTAAATCCATGGTACGTTATATGTTCCTTCCATAGGCAGGATGCCAGAAATTTCCCTCTACCCTCAAGTAATAATTTAGCGGTCCCCTCGAGACCACCGTACTGTCACCCGCCCACCTGCGGGAACATGAGCCGCTCCGAAAAAAAGGAGGCAAAAAACATTTGGGGAAATGACTCTGTTGCTGGGTGACTAGCATTGCTTGGAATGTTATGTGAGATGATGAAAAGGCGAAACACACCTTGGGTTGTGACCCGGTCATGTTTTGAAACCTAAGAATCACTAACAAGGTTTTAATAAACCAATTAGATCCGTTTCAGGAAAGCGTTGGGCAAACATTTACTTTAATTCGGTCTTATGTCGTTGTGTGTGACTGAATGAGTCCCGCAGGAGCAGGTTATTAAGTGCTGATCTACCTGCCAATTAAATAATACATTGTGGTTTTCTGAGGGAAACGAAAGGGTTGGGCAGAAAACATCTGATGAAATTACAGTCAAACTGCGCCAAAAACACTTTTGGAGAATGTATGGAATATTCATTGGATTTTGAGTGAGGAGAGTTGATTGGATGTTGATTATGGGTTGTTATCATGTTATTAAGCAGTTAACTGACCTCTCCTGGCTGTGAGTCCTGTGTGACGTGTGACCTCAGGGATGGTGGACAGGTCAGAGAGGGTGCCACTCATGGAGGTGGTCAGGAACTCACTCCTGGAATGTCTTTTCTTCTCCTGAAAGGCCAGGCCGGCCATTCCACAGCTACAGTGCTGCAGGAAGAAATCCTGGGGGACAGACAGGAAGAGAAGGTACAGGACTGTGAGTAGGAGGGACAAAGACTCATTAAACCACCACATCAAAACAATGATCTTGGAGAAAACACTGCATATTAAATGTATTTGCAAATCCAAATCTAGTTTGACTGTTTTTCTCGCTTGTGGTTCAAGGGTCCTCCAATAGTACTTGCTTGATTCTGTCAGCAACCATCTGTTACAAATTCAGGAGAGTGAAAATGTGCTTTGGCCATCACAATCTTGCATTTTTGGGCCTATATGCTGCCCAAATGTTCTGTGATATCTGAGTTTGTTTTACTGTTTTAAACTGACTTTAACGTAATAACTTGATTTGTTGTTTTCATACATAGTGTGTATTTTCCTATTTCTTTTCAAGATTGAGTTGGATTTATGGCAACCTAACCTAAAAAAAGAAACTTCAGAACTCTACATTAACTTATCCAAAGTAGGCCTAACTATTTTTTCTCGTAAGCCTACAACATATGTTCTATGCAGTTACATGTATGGTAGTTCATAGAAAAATTAGAAAGACTTTCCTTGTCATTGTTTAGAGTTGGAAAAAGTTCACATCTATTTATTCCAGCTGAGGAAACTCTGGACGTCACACGCTAATGTAAAATCCTGTTATAGTTCAAACCACGCAGATGCCCAGCAGTAGCATAAACGGAATAAGACAAGAGTTGTTTTTTCCTGCTTCATTGTTAACAATCAAACGTGCAGTGTCACTTTTACAGTAGGGGGATTTTTCATCACGTGAAGGTTACACTCCCGTCACCTGCACAACTTCAGAACCCAGAGCCGTAACCCAAGTGGCTCATTAGGTGAAGTCATTTCCTAATCTTGTGCAAAATGATTTTATTCTCCGTACTGAAGTTACCTCTACCCTGGACACAAGATGAAAACTCTACACCAAAATAGCATCATCTCTGGACAGTGCTCTCTCCCAGAATTCATTTTTTGACTCTGAATGGCCTGTTATGCAACCACTGGACGTTTATACCGAAAACTGGGTAAGCATGGCATGATGAATGACCACTGAAGTCACGCTCCACTGCTTTGTTTTAGTTTTTACTGAACTTTGACCACAGTCTGATATGCCCGCTGGACCCACAACCACACTCTCCCCTTGGTGAAGACACCCCCTCTACTGAGAAGGGGTGGTCTTTGCCCTCTCCAAGGACCACCCCATCTGTGTGTGCTTAGCCGTTAGAAGGAGGCAGCTCCCACCTTTGGGGACTCAGAGGGCCGCCCACACCAGGCATTTGACCTCTGACCAAAAGAAGAGGATTAAACTGTTAGAGGCATTATGTTGCTGTGCACTCAGGGGAAAAGGGAAGGTCCAGAACACTCTGGCTCTGGAATGTTCCCTTCATCACATCCCATTTCTCAATAACCCAGGGACAGCCTTCGGACGGCTCCTTTGTCTGAGGTAGTACTTATTTTAGGATAACAAAAACGGGAGCTTGAGGCCTGAAGAGTGAGCTCACATTCATTCCTCACATTAGAAACTTGATTACAAGTTTCTTTCTTCCACTCTAGTATTGACTCTAGATGTATGTTTTTGTGCATCTCAGTTCATCTGACTGATCGTGAGAAACCCCAAACCACCCCAGTCCTGGTAGGTGGGCTTTAATGCAATTGTCTGGGCTGTGTTTATAATGAGCCCAGCAGTGAACCTGGTGCTTATGTGAAAGGTGGGGTAGATGGGCCTAGGCACAGGGAACCATAGGTGTCAGCACCGCCATTCATGGGGCTTAGATGTGCCCCAGCTGACTTGCTCCTCCTTTTGATGTGTCATCTACGTGTTTCAGCTTGTGGTCTAACCATAGAAACCCTCACAGCAGGGGAAATTACTAAACGCTTGGGAGGACAGCTGGTGTGGTCCCCAAAACCATCTGAAAATCGTGTGCACATCTTTCAAGTCAGGATTTGGACCAGAGAGAATGACAACACCTAAGTTATCTCCATGTATCTTACATTTGAATGGGAAAATGTAATTATCAAGGTGAAATCATATCAGAATTTGGTGACCTTAAAGAATTGTAAGTCCTGCTAAGATTGTTGAAGATGTTTTTTGTTAGAGAGGATGTGGTTGTCTTTGAATGAGCACTTTTTGGGATCTCTTTCTCTCTCACTGTCCCTCTCTCACTGTCCCTCTCTCACTGTCCCTCTCTCACTGTCCCTCTCTCTCTCCTCTCTCTCTCTCTCTCTCTCTCTCTCTCTCTCTCTCGCTCTACTCTCTCTCTCTCTCTCTCTCTCTCTCTCTCTCTCTCTCTCTCTCTCTCTCTCTCTCTCTCTCTCTCTCTCTCTCTCTCTCTCTCTCTCTCTCTCTCTCTCTCTCTCTCTCTCTCTCTCAAGACTTTGAAGTGTAGGCTCCTGCTGGGTTCACCCTTTGCTTCAGTGGAAAGCTTTTCCGGCCCCCAGGCCCAAACAGTCAGAGCTAGTTTGGAACAAGCTCTCTGAAACCCCCTGAACATAGCCACTCCGGTATTGTGCCAAAGTCTCAAAAGGAAAGCGAGACATCCACACAATGCCAAAGTACTTTTCTTTAGAAGCACAGGCAAATGTCACAAGAGAGGGGGCAAAGTTGAATACAATGCAATAAGATGTCACCCAAATCTAGTGCCAAGGTTGTTGTTTTTCAGATTCAAGTTCAGGTTTTCTTCTTGTGTTGAGCTGATTCTGAAAGACTAACCATGAACACTTTAGGAAAATGTTGGGTTCAACCGATACTGAAACATAAAATTGAGGTAGTTTTGGGACTCTAAACTCTACATTCCTCATTTTCTATTTAATTAATTTTATATTCTATTAATTTCCACCAATGTTCCCATGTTATTACCATACTGATTTTTTAAAACAACAACGGCACAACTTTTTAAAAACCCATAAATAACCAATGGTATTTTCTCTCTCTGGCGTTGGTAAGATAACTTTCAGAGCCAACTTATTCATCCTGTTTGGGAACAGAAAGCAAGAGTCAAGAGAGCTGGCCAGGGGATTTTATAGGTTATACATTGTTAACTGAGCAGATTTTTAGCTATTTTATGAGACCTTACTGGAATGCTAATCTAAATGGTGCTTACTACACAGAAACAAGAAACGTAATTTGCCCTATTTTAATGCTGACGTTGGGCTTGCCTTTGTGCATTTCCATAGCCACATTTGTTTGTTGAACCTTTGTCTATGTCTAATTTTGGATAGCTGTGAGACAGTGATATTATAGCTACAGAATATGATTAGCTAACATGGACATCATTTCAGATATAAACTGATTATTCATATTATGTTGTTGGGGTTCAGATGTAGATTTTTCAAGTCTAGTTATGATCATTGTCCCAGCCACAGACCCTAACTCCTCTATGCTCTCAGCAGGTGGCAGGAAAAGGCCCTGATGCTTGTTATTAATTACATTCATATAAACATAAACGTGTCTCTTTGCCATGCTATAAGGACGTTCCTAAATGTGTGCCCCATATGTTTGAAGACTGCTGGACCCAGCTGTTCTATTCATTAAACACACTTTCATCCACTTTCCACTTTCATCCTTCTGCCATTCTGGAAACAGCTACATATACGCTGGGACAGCATGGGTGAGCCCAGAAATCATCCGTGGCATGTCTAACACACCACACATTTGTTTCCTTGAGGCCCCCATACCGGCCCATTTTATTTGTCTCAAGACCCCACATCGGCCCATTCTTCTTCCTTGATGCCCCCATTATAAGCCCAATAATGATCATTTTGCAATAAAATCCCAATTTAAACAGGCCCACTGGGCTAAAGATGGACCAAAATTGCCAGAATTGCCCTGTGGCCAGTCCGTCCCTGTAGGTGAATAATCACTCACTTCAAGGAATATATGGCTATGTCTGCACCACCTGGACAGCAGTCAACTGAAAATCAAAGATTGATGATATTTGGGTCTGTCCTACGCTAACAGTTTTAGGAGCTTCGAAATTCTGACAATTTCAGCAGTAACTGAGATAAATCATAATACCCTAACGTTAAGAACATTCACGTTGTCAACACCCCTTTATTTGCTATAACTCATTGAGAGAGATTGTTTGGCTATAAACAAGCTTTGTCTCAGTGCTTACTCTCTTCGCCCTCTCTGATCTGACAAGACTGGACACGTTATGGAAAAGCAATATGGCGGAAGCCTATTTTTGGTAAGACGCAATTTTTTATATTTTTTATACGACACAAGTCCAATCCAGATTCTTCCCAGGGTGCCCACCAATGACCAGCACTCACTGTGTGAGTATGCTGATGATGATACTGTATAGTACTGTCTGTATGTGACTCACCTCTTTGGTCTTGGTCATCTTTCCATCCTTCTGCAGGCCACAGATCTGCTTCTGCAGCCTGAGGTTGTGCTCCTGGAGCTGACCAATCTTCTCGATGAGCTGGCAGATGTGCTCCAGGTAGCCCAGTCCGGAGCCCAGGGGGTTGGAGCTGGCTTGGTGGACCTGAGGAACCAGAGGTATGAGGGTTTGGTGAGCTTAGTGGGGTCATAGGGCTCTGTAGGGCTGCCAATTTAACTTTTACGGCTGAGAACTAGATGTGCAATGTACAGATTTTGTTTCAAGACACTACCACATGTTCTCTGGGAAAGGATGTAAGAATGTGTTGTTTTGTATAGTTCCTTATCTTTACAATGGGTAACCAGTAAGCAATGGGGTTTACTGGGCTACTGTTTGTAGGTAATTCAACCCAGTGTTTTTATGAGGGGAAGAGATAAAGAGAGCTGTAATCTATTGTTGAGGTAAACGGTCAAATGATTCCAGAGATTTATATCACTCTGTCATTCCTTTGTCGTGCCTGATAGAAGGTTAAACATTGACTGGTCCCTAATCCACCAAAAAGTGTGGGATAAAAAAAACATGATGTCCTCTGAAATTCTTGGGTCCAGTCATAACATCACCTTAAAGGTGCCCCATCATATGCCTAAAAGGATCAGTGGATTTAACAAGAGGGTGATGTTAGATGATGTAACCTGCCGGGGAGGGTATCCATCCACTCTGATATTCAACACATTTTTATTTCGTTACATTTTTATCTAAACAGGAATGTTCTTATGGGATATTTTACAACTTGTTACATGTTAACCATATAGGTTGAGTCTGTTTTACAACTAAATGCATTCCCCTGCTGCCATGGGCCATTAAGTCTTTCCCCAGCTTCATGTCAACATTGACCAGGAGGAGTCGAGTCTGGAAGGGATTATGCAACTCATTTTAATGTGTTTTAGGGTCTAGCCTCATCCTGGCGGTATTGCATCATCTCTCGACATACCATAGTGGCAGTGCATACGTTTGTAGTTGATGGTAATGGCGGGTGGTTGTTATATTCCCATGGTAGTCATGACGATGTTCATCTTAAACATGGAGATGTCAGCATATCGCTTATGAGGTCAAATGGAAATAGGTAAGTAAAAGGTCTGGAATAACAGTCGTAGTGCCTTTGAGAGGGTTGGAACAGAAGTTAAGTGATTGCCGATTTTGTTCAAACTTCAAACTTATGACCGCACTGGTGTGGGAACACAAAGACATGCCTGTGTGCCATTGTTTGTTTGTTTGTTTTATGGTGTGACCATTAGCCCGAGAGGCACAGATGTTCACGTTTGCAGGAATATGAAAAGGAAATTTTGAGCAAATATTTATACAATCATCCACATTCCACACAGTGTCCCAACAAAAGCAGGAAGTAAGCTCAGTTCGAAGCCTTTCTCCCCCCAGAAGGCTTTTCCGTGCCACTTCTGTGAAACTCCAGTAAGGTCCCTGTCCACTAATGGAAACGCAGGCCCAACAATGGGACACAAAGTCATAACAGTCAGGAGAACTGAAATCACTCCTTTCCTCTGACAGAAAAAGGAACCTTCTGCCCATTACACACAGTCTTGACCAGCTACTCATTTCCCAGACAGTGGTTTTGAAGCATTTCTCAATGGCTCGTGGAGATGTCCAGTACTGTCCTGGCTCTCCCCTTATCTCCCCAGACATGCAGGTGTCTGACCAAGGTCTCAGCGATGATCAGTCGGGTGGACAGTGATCAGGTGACTCTAGTCTAGCCTGTAGCCTGGCCATCCCAGCTCTGTTTTACAGCTCTGTTTTAAGATAAGGAGGAGATTCCTCCTCACACACAGTAAGTCATGGGCCGAGGATATGAGACAAGCAGTCATTAGCAGTCTTCAAATCAAATCAAATCAATTTTTGTTTGTCACATGCTTTGAAAACAATAGGTGTAGACTAACAGTGAATTGCTTACTTACGGGTCCTTTTTCAACAATGCAGAGTTAAAGATAAAAATAAATAAAAATAAATAAAAATAATTGAAATAGTGACACGAGGAATAAATACACAGTGAATAAAGAATAACAATGACGAGTAAAAATAACATGGCTAAATACAGGGAGTACCAGTACTGAGTCAATGTGCAGGTGTACGAGGTAATTGAGGTTGGTATGTACATATAAGTAGGGTTAAAGTGACTAAGCAACAGGATAGATAATAGACAGTAGCACCAGCGGGTAGAGATTTGATTAGCTATTTATGAGTCTTGTTTAGCAGTCTTATGGCTTGGGGGTAGAATCTGTTCAGGGTCCTCTTGGTTTCAGACTTGGTGCACTGGTACCGCTTGTCGTGTGGGTAGCAGAGAGAACAGTCCATGGCTTCGGTGGCTGGAGTCTTTGACAATTTTGTGGGCCTTCCTCTGACACTGCCTGGTAGAAGTCCTGGATGGCAGGGAGCTCGGCCCCAGTGATGTACTGAGCTCTACTCACTACCCTCTGAAGCGCCTTGCAGTCGAATGCCAACAGTTGCCATACCAAGCGGTGAATAAGCCAGTCAAGATGCTCTCAATGGTGCAGCTGTAGAACTTTTGGAGGATCTGAGGGCCGATGACAAATATTTTCAGCCTCCTGAGGGGGAAGAGGCACTGTCATGCCCTCTTTATGACTGTGTGGGTGTGTGTGGACCATGTTAATTCCTTAGTGATGTGGACATGAGCATACACCCCTGAGGGGCCCCGGTGTTGATGGTTAGCATGGCAGATGGATTGTTGCCTACCCTCAGCCTGGGGGCGGCCCGTCAGGAAGTCCAGGATCCAGTTGCAGATGGAGGTATTAAGTCCCAGGGTCCCCAGCTTTGTGATGAGCTTGGAGGGGACTATGGTGTTGAATGCTGAGCTGTAGTCAATGAACAGCATTCCTACATATTCCTTTTGTCCAGGGCGGTGAGGGCAATGTGGAGTGCAATAGAGATTGTGTCATCTGTGGATCTGTTGGGGTGGTATGCGAATTGGAGTGGGTCCAGTGTGTCTGGGATAATGGTGTAAATGTGAGCCTTTCAAAGCATTTCATGGCTATAGATATGAGTGCTACGGGGTGATAGTCGTTTAGGCAGGTTACCTTGGCGTTCTTAGGCACGGGGACTATGATGATCTGCTTGAAACAAGTTGGTATTACAGACTGGGTCGGGGATAGGTTGAAAATGTCAGTGAAGACACTTGCCAGCTGGTCAGCGCATGCTCTGAGTAAGTGTTCTGGTATTCCGTCTGGCCCCGCAGCCTGTTTAAATGTCTTACTCAGATCGGCTATGGCTACAGCGGTGATGGACGCAGGGTGGGACTGATCTTATCACCGCTCCTAAAAGGGGAAGAGAGATGGTAAGAGAGAGGGGTCCGGGAATGCCCCCACCCTTTTTCAGAGCTTCTTCTGGCCCCATAGGTTGTGAGGGGGTAACAATGTTTCAAACGTGGGAATCGCTGACAAGCAGATAAAATGCCAGGCTTTGGACTAGTTAGAGAATGAGTTCTCACTTGGCTTTTTCCTTAAAAGTTGTGAAAGTGTGAAAGAAATAGAGAGATAGGAGAGGTGCATATGTTAAAATGAGACATATGATCAGGTCTTCTCAGTTTTCTAATACACAAGACCATCCGTTGCCTTGACAAGATAGAAATACAGTGGGGAGAACAAGTATTTGATACACCGCCGATTTTGTAGGTTTTCCTACTTACAAAGCATGTAGAGGTCTGTCATTTTTATCATAGGTGCACTTCTACTGTGAGAGACGGAATCTAAAACAAAAATCCAGAAAATCACATTGTATGATTTTTAAGTAATTCATTTGCATTTTATTGCATGACATAAGTATTTGATACATCAGAAAAGCAGAACTTAATATTTGGTACAGAAACCTTTGTTTGCAATTACAGAGATCATATGTTTCCTGTAGGTCTTGACCAGGTTTGCACACACTGCAGCAGGGATTTTGGCCCACTCCTCCATACAGACCTTCTCCAGATCCTTCAGGTTTCAGGGCTGTCGCTGGGCAATACGGACTTTCAGCTCCCTCCAAAGATTTTCTATTGGGTTCAGGTCTGGAGACTGGCTAGGCCACTCCAGGACCTTGAGATGCTTCTTACGGAGCCACTCCTTAGTTGCCCTGGCTGTGTGTTTCGGGTCGTTGTCATGCTGTAAGACCCAGCCACGACCCATCTTCAATGCTCTTACTGAGGGAAGGAGGTTGTTGGCCAAGATCTCGCGATACATGGCCCCATCCATCCTCCCCTCAATAAGGTGCAGTCGTCCTGTCCCCTTTGCAGAAAAGCATCCCCAAAGAATGATGTTTCCACCTCCATGCTTCACGGTTGGGATGGTGTTCTTGGGGTTGTACTCATCCTTCTTCTTCCTCCAAACACGGTGAGTGGAGTTTAGACCAAAAAGCTCTATTTTTGTCTCATCAGACCACATGACCTTCTCCCATTCCTCCTCTGGATCATCCAGATGGTCATTGGCAAACTTCAGATGGGCCTGGACATGCGCTGGCTTGAGCAGGGGGACTTGCGTGCGCTGCAGGATTTTAATCCATGATGGTGTGTTACTAATGGTTTTCTTTGAGACTGTGGTCCCAGCTCTCTTCAGGTCATTGACCAGGTCCTGCCGTGTAGTTCTGGGCTGATCCCTCACCTTCCTCATGATAATTGATGCCCCACGAAGTGAGATCTTGCATGGAGCCCCAGACCGAGGGTGATTGACCGTCATCTTGAACTTCTTCCATTTTCTAATAATTGCGCCAACAGTTGTTGCCTTCTCACCAAGCTGCTTGCCTATTGTCCTGTAGCCCATCCCAGCCTTGTGTAGGTCTACAATTTTATCCCTGATGTCCTTACACAGCTCTCTGGTCTTGGCCATTGTGGAGAGGTTGGAGTCTGTTTGATTGAGTGTGTGGACAGGTGTCTTTTATACAGGTAACGAGTTCAAACAGGTGCAGTTAATACAGGTAATGAGTAGAGAACAGGAGGGCTTCTGAAAGAAAAACTAATAGGTCTGTGAGACCCGGAATTCTTACTGGTTGGTAGGTTATCAAATACTTATGTCATGCAATAAAATGCAAATTAATTACTTAAAAATCATACAATGTGATTTTCTGGATTTTTGTTTTAGATTCCGTCTCTCACAGTTGAAGTGTACCTATAATAAAAATGACAGACCTCTACATGCTTTGTAAGTAGGAAAACCTACAAAATCGGCAGTGTATCAAATACTTGTTCTCCCCACTGTATATGAAAACAGTTGTGGACTCCACAGTTTGAGGATTTTAATATTTTTCGAGCTAAACATAGAAAATTTGAGCATGATATGCTGATATCAAAGATCGTTGTGAAGAACTGAGGCTCTCCTCAGGCCTTGATTCTGGAGATTTCCACTGTCTGCTGCATCAAAAATACTTTCCTAAACATGACAGTGTTGGAAAGGAATGAGGTGCCAGATGTGGGATGCACACAGAGATAGGGAGAACGATACGTGCTGTACACGTTTACTGGTTTTCTGTCCAGAAGACCCATTTGTTTTCAGCACACACAATCTGGGGAGAGAGTTCAGATAATATTCTTGCCTCTCTTCTCTGTTGTATATCTCCAATGGCGCTCTTTGGGGAACACACTGTGTGTCTGTGCTGACAGGAAAAGGGGGTCTTGAGGATTTACAGAGAGCCAGAATGAATGGCATAATGCCAATATGGGTCAGAGGTGAGATTAACAACCCCAATGATGCTAGCTACCTCTCTCGGTTAGCCACAAACAACACCTTACCAAGACACTGGTCTACCTAAGTTTGTCTTACTACCTGCCAACAATAACCCATGGAAGTAATTGGGTGTCTATTGGGTGGCCTATTGCAATCCCTGACATTGGACTTAAATCGTATTTCCAGCACCTATCACATACTCTAGAGATGCCTTGAGCAAAAAAGCATTTAGGCAAGAGCACCACGATACACACAGATCAGCTCATCATAAATAGATGAATCAGTGGAATGAATCTGAAGCCCCTAGAAAGTGTGTTTAGTACTGTACATCATGTGCATGTTTATGGGCTGCAGCTGCAGCTGTGGAATTCGACAAGGGTTGCCGTCTTTCCCCGTCTTCATTCTTTTATGACATCATATTTCACAGTGTTCCACACATTCTTCAACGGAGGGGAAAATATAGCCTGACGACTCAAACAAAATTATTCCGCTGCTCTGTCGTTCGCTACATACTTCCTGGCTGTTCTGCCGCCCTAGGTGAGACAAAAAAATATGGCTGCCCTTGTATACCCTGCATATCTAGAATAGTCACAGTAAGCAAAATGTTGTTGAAAAGACATCTAAAACAAGTATTTTCCAGACATTTAAGTTAGGTTCATTTTAGGTTCTGAATTAAAGGTGAAAATACATATTTTCTGGACGTTTAAAAGACGTATTTTCCGGATGTTGAAATCAGGTTCATTTTCGGTTCTGAATGAAAGTTGAAAAGATGTCATTTATAGACGTCTATTTTTGGACCAAATCAAGGCCTGTCCAGACCGGACCAAATCTGAGCCAAACATTCAAGTCTATGATTGGTTAAGATTTGGTCCAGACCAGAACAAAAATCAACGTCCGTGGACATTGAAATCAAGGCTGATCTGACCACACCAAATCTGAACCAAACATAGACATCTATGTTTGGGCCAAATCAAGGCTGGTCCAGATTGGACCAGATCTGAACAAATCATAGACGTCTATTATTGGTTCAAGGCTAGTCTTGAACGCACTCAAAAAAGACGTCCGATCAGGACAGGACCAAAAAAAGACGTCCAACAGAAGTTGGAGTCTGTCTGTGCTTATTGGGGTGTAGCCTACAGTGTCAGCCCACAATGGAATGTTATGAATGTCCATCCATGTGGTAGGCCTACTGTTTGTAAACCAGGCAGTTGCATTGGCTTTATTAGTCCTGATTTGCAGCGATGCGTCTCTCCAACAGCACCCTGGAGAGACGCGCTGGGAATGGACAAGCAAAAAAAATGTACGCCCCTGCCTTTGACAAAGTGGCCACTGCTTATCACAGGGCGGCATCAGCGCTCATCTAAAAAGCCCATATGCCACTGGTTGAGAGAAATTGTCATTGTTTTTGGGCCGAATTATGTGAGGTTTTATGTGTTGTTAAAGGTGCGTCTTGGTCAGTTTAGCTTGCAAAATGCCGCCCTTGTCAATCTGCCGCCATAGACCGCTGCCTAATGGGCGGGCTGGCCCTGGTCTGAGACTACCATCATTTAAGTAATGTGTGGTGACGAGGGGCACTAGGTGGGTTGTACAAAACAAAGTCATCAGAGTATCAAAGCCAATGAGGAATTTTAAAACCTCTGTGTTCTGGCTCTGGCCCAACCCATCGGTTTCTGTAACAATCAGACGGCCCCGAATGTGTTCGCATTCATTGAAGGGTCAGGGAGGTACTCAGATCCAGACTCAGTGCGGAGAAGAAACTAACATCCATGGGCGTGGTGTAGCGTTTGGCCGGAGCAAGGAGTCTGTTAGCCAAGCAAGGGGAAATATGCTTTGAATGCCCTGTGCTTTCCCCTAAGGATAGAGGCCTGCATGCATGAGATCAGACGGACAGCTAAACACATCCATATGATAAATGTATATATGATAATACTATGATAAATCTCTTTATGGTGAAATACAGTCAGGTCCAAAATGATTGGCACCATTGATAAAGTTGAGCAAAAAATTCTGTATAGAATAAATATTACAAATACTGCCTATATTGTATGCAAAATAAACATCGCATTATATTATTTTATACTAATACAATTGTTCAGAGAAAGAGATTTTGTTTAACAAGTAATAAAAAAAAATCTCCAGAAGATAGGGGTCTAAATTATCGCCGCCCCTGTTTTCAATACCTCACCTTGCGAGGATAACGGCACTGAGCCTTTTTATAAAACGTTTTATGAGATTAAAGAACATATAGGGAGGGATCTTAGACCATTCCTCCCTACAGAATATTTCCAGATCCTTGATATCCTTCTTCTGCGCTTATGGACTGCCCTCTTCAATTTGAACCACAGGTTTTCAATGAGGTTCAAGTCAGGAGACTGTGATGGCCATTGAAAAAAGTTGATTTTTATGGTCAATTAACCATTTCTTTGTGGATGTTGATGTGTGCTTGGAGTTATTGTCTTGCTGGAAGATCCACTTGAAGCCCAGTTTCAGCCTCCTGGCAGAGGCAACCAGGTTCTTGGCTAAAATGTGCTGGTACTGGGTAATGTTCATGATGCTGTTGACCTTAACAAGGGCCCCAGGACCAGTGGAAGCAAAATAGCCCCATAACATCAAAGATCCACCACCATATTTTACAGTAGGTATGGGGTTCTTTTCTCATATGCATCTTTCTTTCGAAGCAAAACCCATGACTGGTGTGCATGGCCAAAGAGCTCTATTTTCATATAATCTGACCATAGCACTGGTTCCAATCCAAGTGCCAATGCTGTTTGGCAAACTCCATGATGATGAAGAGTTTTACCACCGGGCTGCCTGTCAGCAATGCACCCCTAAAGTAGGGCACGGTGGGGCCACCCAAAATAATCGCAACCCGCCGGCCAGTCGACTGGTCCGTTAAAGGGGCCCTAAAGGCTATCAAAGGGGCTTTATCTGGGTAAATATGTGAGTAATTTTAGCAATTTGACACCTGTGTGATGCGTCTAGGTAGGACGTCCAGCCCTGGTTCCAGGGAGAGGCAGGAACCAGATGAAAGAGAAAGGGGGGAGCTGGCTGGTTATCCAGGACAATATCACCACAGCCAGATGAACAGGTGCTGTGTGACATGCGGTAGCATCAAAAAAGCCCCCGCACTGTAACACATGACCTCTCCACCTTTCCTCTCAGCCTGTATGCAACCAGGCCCTGTGTTTAGATTCCCCTGCTGTATGCCATTATATAACCTGGTCTTGACTGGGACTTTGAACGTGACATTGTTGTGAAAGGTCTTTGAGGGAGAGATGGGGAAGTATCTGTTAAGAGATGTGGGCTTTGAAGTTTTTCTAGTTTGGCCACCTCAAATTCTATAACTGATTAGTTTGCTCATTCATTCATATTGGATTGATGAAATGGTATGTATCATGTAAAGGATTTGAGATCAACTAACAGCTCTGGTGTCATCCAAGATATGATCTGAAGAGATACCCATCTGTGTCCTGGGAAATTGTCAAAAGGTCATAGATGTCATGGGCATCACTTTCACCTTGGCTTGCTTGAGACAGCACACCAAAGTGTCCCAGGCTTACTCAAGCCAACCAAAATGTTAACATTTATTGGACATAGTATCACTTACTGCCTCATTAAATCGATGACTAGCCTAGCTTACAGTAATATAAATGTTATGCAAACACATTCAAAAACGAATAATACATTTTGTGGAACAACATCGAAGTGTCTCAGTCAGATTAACTGTTTCACTATCATGATTCTCATTTCCACTCAAAACCAAAATCAACAAGACATTCAGATGAAGGTGCATTTGACGCCGTATCAAAAACAGTGCTGAGAGCTGATAGTGATGAGTTGAGCAGCACATCAAACAGGTTATTATTGGTTGGCAAAGCTCCACAGCTGTCAGGTGCAGCTCCGCAAGAGGACACTGTTTTTTCATTTGGAACATGAAAAAGAAGATGTCTTTTTTTCCAAACATGAATGAAAACACAGCTCTCATTGGAAAGCTTTTGTTAGGGAACGTGCCTCTACTGGCCCTTATGAATGGGTAAAGTAGCGTTTTGTTGCTCAGCTATCTCACTAAGGACAAGTTGAGGTCATAGCCGTCATGGATGTTCAGTATGAGAATACTGTATTTCTTTTTTTTTACCCATAAAGAGGGGTTTAAGATGAGTTCTTGTTCCCTTTTATCTTATAACAGTATGACATTTTCATATTGCAATAATGTAATGAGCTCTACACCTTTATTGCCTAATTGAGTGTCTTTTAGAAGTTTGATTCACCTTAGTTTTAATCTAGCACTCTCTTGTAAACTCAAAGACAAGGTTGATAATTGCTCTCGAAATACCCCCAATTTCCCCCAATTTCCTGCCCATTGGAGGTTCTGTGATTAGCTGGTGACATAGAGGCTGGGAAGGGTTGGTAATTAGGGATAATGACAGGGAGCGTAAAGATATTTGTTGTCCACCACCCAAAAGGGGCCTTTCCTCAAGTCCCTGCAGATTTGGAGGAAGTCTAAACAAGTCCCGTTAATTGCCATCGCTCACTGACTTCGTAAGCATAAAGACAGCAGGAAATGTGTTATATATAAATGAAAGGAAACACAAGGTACCTGCTTCTGTTCAAGTAGCAAATAGACCTAATGTTGCAGATGAAAGTACACAGATGGTAAACAGCACTAAGTCATCGCTCTGTGTCAGGAATAGTTTCCCCATAAATAACACTTTATGGTTCCTACATAAAACAGAATATAAAACATTAGGAATATCTGTGGGCTTACATGCAGCCCTCGGAGAAGCCAGGATGTTGTGAGTAAATAACAAGTGGGCTTTACCTCACTCAGTCTGCAGCATTCCTCCATATACTCCTCCAGGCTGTCACTCGTCGTTCCTTTCCTCAGAGGCCGCTGCTCAAAGTCAACCCCTGTCATATCGTCACAGGCCCCTGTAAGGCACTGTCTCCTGGGCCTTGTGTTCTCTGAGTTGACCCCCTCAGTTACAGCCCTGTTCTCACCCAGCTGTTCTGAAACCCCTTCACTGTCCTCAGTGGGGTCCCTCAAGGCTGTGTGCTGGGCCCGCTCCATATCTATGTCCTTCTCAGTTATGTGAAGGTCTACCCTCTCAACTTCTGTGTTGAGTTCAGCCCCCGACTCCACCATATCACACTCCTGCACTGCACTGTCTGCAGTCATACATGGTGTGTCTCTCATACCCTCTGTTTGGTTGGTGTCAGAGCACTGATCTAACGTGAGGAGTGGATCTGGGGTAGGAACAGGAGTGTTGAGGTTACAGGAGTCATAGGAGGGTTCCCGGCTGTGGACCACAAAGCTCTGCTCCGAGCCGGTGGGTGTGGAGGGAGAGTTGGTTCCACTGGGCAGTTCCACCCCAGAGTCCTCTGACTCAAACTTGTACAGCCTGGGAAGCTGAGAGTTTGAGAAAATGTGTGACAGGTAGTCTGAGCTTGACTCCATCAGGGGCTGTCCAGGCATGTTATCCAAGTCAGCATTCCCCTCCAAGCCTTTGACAGGCTCAGAGATGTCCTGCTCAGAAACTGACATGGCAATAGTGGATGAAGAATCAACAGCATTGTTGAGTAGCTTCTCATGGAAGTTGTTGAAGAGCTTCATCTTGGTCAGGATAACCTCATTTTCAAGCACATTGTCCCCCTTTCCTGTTAATAATGAGAAGCACAATTAGTACAACAGCCTTTTTTGTGCATTACCTGAGTTGCCTATTTCGAATGTTCCCACAAGTGACTTTCACTCAGTTATCCCCAATGAAATAAAATACAAAAGAAATACTTGAGTGAATGCCCGTTTTCAAGTGTTGCATAGCAGTACCCTAACTGCTTCGAAAATACCATTATGTCAGAAAGCTAACTCTTTCAAAGTTAACTCTTTCAGATAAAAAAATATACTGTTCTTGACAACAGACATAGAATACCTGTGAACATCACTAACACCTAATTACAATATCTCTTTCCTAAGGACAGTGGATGTCAAGAGTAAAATTTAAGACTGTAGCTACTCAAGCATTTGAAAAAGTCTCTCTTCTTGTGTAAGCAGGATGATGATGTTTTTGTTCCAAAAGACTCACAGTTGCATGACCAATTCCTGTGACCATGAATGACACAGATGTACTGTCAAAATATAGATCTAAGAGGTTTTTGAGGATCTTCCTATGAAACCTGAGGACTGGTTTTATACTATCCAGCATTTTTCAATTCGGAGGTACATAAATACCCTAGTACACACACTATGTGTCAGTGCCCCACACTGGGCTGTCCAGCTTTGATCTTAAGGTCCAGTTAATACCATTATGGGGCACTCATATGTGATATCTCTGCTTTCTCGCCACGGGCAATCTGATACCCATCGCTGTCAATCAAACATACTTTTTTTCCCACTTACCTTGAATTCCAGAACAACAAACGTACATACCACCATGTCCTTGAGCAGCGAATAGGTTTTAAATCAGAGTATTACTTAATTCAAAAAAATTTTTTTTGTCCTGTGCTGCAAATCTAACCCAAACACCTTTCTGGTATAACATAATAGTAGACTGTTAGATCAAACTTCAACAATAGAGAAGGTTTGACGACTACCCACTGTTTAAATTGAAGATCTGGCTCAGGCAAATTTTAGATTAAAAAGGGCTTTGAAGTTGTAAATCCAGTGATTTCATTCACTTCAGAGGGAACTTTATTAAACTGGGTTTTTGGAGGACACGTTTGTGCGAACTAAGAACTAAAAGAGTAGTAAAACTAAAGTATTTTGAGTATCGATGTAAGTTGAATCTCAGCACCACTCACAGAAACAAAACAAAACTTCCTAACATGATGCCTACTTAAGGAGTTGTCGCGGGCCATTTAAGTATAAACACTCCCAGGGGAATTGCATCTCTGATTGTTAGGAAATATTAGGCAGGCGTATTGTGATTGGAGGAGAGGAATAATGAAATTCACAGGAGCTCAGGCTGAGTGATACAACCAAAACCTATTTGGCAGGAAATGAGTCACTCATCTGAGTATATGAAACTGATTGATTTGTTATAACATCAACTGCCAAACTATTTGGAGATGGTGATGTGTCAGATTTAAAAGCAGCCAGTCAATTACATTGTAATAAATCATATAACAGTTATACGGTTCCCTCTTTTTGAAGTTGAATGAATGAGTTATTGCTTTATTTAATGATTTTTTTAGTATGGAATTAAGTTTGAATTTCAGAGGGGTATGTGAGGTGGAGATACCTCTACCATGTTTGTTCGCAGCTTTTTCTCACAAAACAAAACCCATTGTTTTTTTATTTCACTGTGAATAACATCCACAGAAATGGAGGCGCACCCATGTTTTTCATGAGAAAAAAATCTGTTGTGATAATACTGTTTTGGGATTGGATAGTTGCTCTGCCAAAACAATGATAGCATTTAAATCTTATTTGGTCCTATCAGCCTTGGTTCTGGCTCAGGTCTCTTCCCATTCAAAATGGCTGTGTTTTTCCCAGTTAGTTTACATTTACCGATTTTGGCCAAAGCTAGTGAATCAAGGTATTGTGGAGAAGTTACGTGGGGTTTTCCAGATCACAAATTTAATAAAGTTAGCCTCTTGAAAAGATTCAGAAATTACACTGTTGCTCAGTGCTCTCAAGGTGGGCATTAACTTTAACATTAGTATCAGAAGACAATACTTGCAAGCATATATAGTAAAGTGTAGCCTACATGTGTTTTCTCTTTTCGAATCCCCAGTTTAATGTGTTCAGCTAAAGTACATTGAGTCAGAATCCCAATGTTTATTTAGCTACATATCATGAATTCGTATATTAATCGACATAATTGCATGTGGTGTACATGCGTCATTTGGTATGTCTCACTTGATTAGAATGAGATGCGTATTTTCTTCACTCCCATAGTGCTCATGTTACATGTGGAAAGAATTTCACTAGCTCAACTCAAGACATCGTATTCCCAAAACAAATTCTTACAGAAGAGGCAAGGGAACGTATTTCCTGTTTTCTTCAATTGGCGGGAAAATGTAGCACATTAATGTTTCCACTGTGGTCAGAGCAAAAGTACAACTACTTAGACACTGTTTAGGCCCTATTGTGTCCAAGATTACCTAACAACATCAGATAGAAGACTAGTATCAGTGTGGGTTATTTCTGAGGTAAGCATTCTTAAACATGTCCCTGTAGTATTCAGCCTTTGATCCAGCATGTAAGTCCCAAACAAAAGCTCATACAGGATCATATGGCGCTTCCCTGAATAGAACAAATAAAATAATAACAAATAAAAACATACTGAAAGACACATTTAACCAAGCTCTATCGCTCCCAGAGGAACACACAGCATGGACACTCCTGAAACCTCAGCAGTCCAATCAGAAGTATGTCAATGGTTGTCTAGGTTGGTCCTCAAGGTATGACTGTACTGTAAAACAACTAAGAAATATCATATGTATACACATTTACAGCAGCTCCCTAAGCCTTGATAAGGCTGTGGACCCTTGGGGGAGATATGAGAGACTGCAGTCCATGTGTAACCCTCTAGCAGCACAGCCCTGACTATCTCTTAATTGGCTTTATGAAGTCAGTCTACGATCAGTCATGTTATCAACAGGAGTGTAATGGGAACTGGTGTATCTCACACAGTGGTAACAGATTAGAAGGAGAAGATAGTTAAAGAGCAACACTAATGATCTCCTGCATAACAACTACTGTACTGCACTTCATTTTATACACTCTCAGAAAAAAAGGTGCTATCTAGAACCTAAAAGGGTTCTTCGGCTGTCCCAATATGAGAATCCTTTGAAGAACCCTTTTTGGTTCCAGGTAGAACCCTCTTGAGTTCCATGTATAACCCTTTACACAGAGGGTTCTACATGGAACCCAAAATAGTTCATCCTGGAACCAAAAGGGTTCTACCTGGGACCAAAAAGGGTTCTCCTATGGGGACAGCCGAAGAACCCTTTTGGAACCCTTTTTTTCTGAGTGTAGACAGACATACTGCACAACATGTAGGCTGTTGTATTTTGGGTTGAAAGTTACAACATTTTTGTATTTGCTATACTGTAAACTAAAGCCCCCAACTGTCCCAACAAAAATAACTCATCCGAGCTTGCTTTAACATGCAAGAAAATTGTAAACTACATTGCCTTAATGTTTATTCTAGCAGCTAATGTATTACTCCCACAAGCAGTCATTTACCCTATACTTAGAAGTTCAGTGACCTCCTAGGTGGGTCGTTCCATTAAATATGTGCCTTTTGCGTCCTTTTGATATTAAGTAGAAATTGTGCACAAATATTACATTTTAAAAGCCTGTTATATTAAATGAAGTCCTCTTTAATATACACCACATGGAAAATTCAATAAATCAGATATTGAATATGAATAAAGACTTGCTAAAGTGCCAAAATTCTGCATTTTGATATGTCCCCCTGTGCGTCCTCTGTGATTTCTAGGAGGATTTTAAACCCACTTAACCCCAACAGTTCTCCAAGTTTTCACCATCATTGTAAAGCCCTAGTTATTTTGTTGCCTTGACAAAGTAATTTCTGAAGAAAAAAAAAAAAAACTGTCCCTCATTTTAAGGTCAACCCTGTTACGTAAATTGAACTCTCATTTTAATATGGCGAAACTATTCAAAAACAATTTGCATACAAAACCTTCCATTCTCCCTGTCACAAGGGGATTTATGGCTGATTTAAGATAAAGTCGTTAACCCTGTTACGATCAACCCTGTTAATTTATTTGGCACTTAATAGGCACTTACTATAGTCCTTTTTAAATGTAACTTCTTGAGATGGGAAAACGTTTTTTATTAAGTTAACATGTGCTCTTTATGATAGTATATTAAAATGAGGTGAAACAAAACCTTTTTTTTTCACCAAGTTACAATACTCAAAAGGCACCTAATTGGTGGAACGACCCAGGTATGGATATCCACTAGTCTTTAAAGCAGTGCTGGGCTTGTAATTGAGCACAGGGGTTTGCTGATGAAGGGGCATTTTTGCTGTTGGCCATGAGGAGAAAACAATCTACATCCAAATCCCCCTGGATTTTCAATTAACGACCCAAAGACCTGGCTCCCAGTTCAGAGAGATCAAACAGCACCTCACCCAGCTCCAGGCAGCTTGGAATGTGAATAATGCAATATATTGTAAGTGAACAGGAGTATGAATATAGTGGAGGTATGTGTTTTGTAAAATACAAACAAGAGACATTTGTGTAGAGAGCCTATTTTCCATTCCGTTTTCTTCCATAACCTCGACCACAAACTTTTTATTCAAGAACTTATCTTTCAGAAGAAGTATTGGAATGACTGAGTTGGAGAAGGTGACCAGGTTTTGGTCAACTGGTTTTGGCTGTAGGTTTTCACTCAATAGCCAACCAAAGTTGTAGTCTAGTGGTTAAGAGCGTTGGGCCAGTAACTGAAAGGTCGCTTTTCTTAACCCTAATTGCTTCTGTAAGTCGCTCTGGATAAGAGCGTCTGCTAAATGACAAAAATGTAAAGACAAACATGCAATTAATTATAGGGTTGCTATGTTTCAGGTTGCCTACATAGAATAAGCTTAGAGTAAACCATTTGTGATGTCAAGACATCTTTTCCCAAACAACAGCATTAAGAGA